GGGAGCGGAAGTGGTGATAAAGGTAGATCTGTCACTCGGTTAAAGGGGTTGACGAGCAAGGAGGGTAGCTAGAGAGAAAACTCAAGTTGAAGTTGATCCACGTTCGGTAAGGCATCCGGCCCAAATGCCGCTAAGTTTAAGAGCTATTTGGGACTACTAGCTCGACACCATGTTCCGATTACTACTCCATCTTGGGATAATGTTGAGGAAACCGAGAAGAACCTCATGTGGCGGGATGTTTAGGTATTTCTATATTTGTTGAATACTTTATATATCATTATTAATTGAATTTAACATTTATTGATCATTTCACAGACAAAATTTTGATGTTCCTAACACCGAAGTGATGAGGAAGAAGATTTTATCCTCCATTGCCATTAGATGGAGGGACTTTAAGACTTTCTTGACACGGGAGTATGTATTTGGAAAGTTTCGAGATGAATCTCCCTGTCTAAAGTATCAAATTAGTGAGGAGGATTGGTTACGGTTTTGTGCCAGCTGAATGGACCCCTCTTGGCAGGATAAAAGACAAGCCGCCCAACAACGTCGGAGGTTGAATGATGCACCCCATGTATTGTCACGAGGAGGGTATGCATTATTGGAGCAACGTCTCATGAAATCCAGAGAAGAGTCAACGAGGAGTTGATTCTACCGACCTTGCATCTCCACCCCCTCGCTATCGGATGTGGAAGGCAGCCGGACAAAATCTGATGGACAAATGACTTCGAGTCCGCACGAATCATTGCTCGAGAAAATCATAAGTTATAATGTCAATTTGAATTGATTCTAATTTGAAAGTTAGTGTATGACTTAATTATTGTTAATGTGTTGTAGGATGATTTAGTTGAGCGGACTGACCAAGGATCATTTATTCCTCATGGTCGACAAGATATATTGGCGACAACCATAGGAAAACCAGATTACTCGGGACGTGTGCGTGGTGCTTGGTGGAACCTGGGGCCTTCGTGATTACTTTGGTCCAACATCAAGAAGGACCACTGTTGACTCTTGCGAGCCAGGAGGCCTTGCATAAAATGGAGATGCAGTTTGAAGAAAAGTTAAATCAAATAAGGCAGTCCTTGCAGCAAGAGTTTGATGAGAAAATTGAATCTCTCGCCCGCTCTCGGCAACGAGACTCAAGGAACACCTCAAACAATTGAACATGATCTTGTTCGAGTCGGCACTAAAGGGAGTTGTGCTTGCTACTACTGTTGATCCTTCGGGAGAATATACTCAGATCGATGCATCACACCGAGTGTGAGTTATATGTTGAAGATGACCCCCGTGTCTAGTGGGTCGTTGGTCGAGTTTTTGAGGGTGGCTTAACCATCCATGGTGTCCCTCTACGACCAGACTGGACACGAGTAGTAGTTGATGAAGTTCATGATGCTAATGCTCCGAGTGCCTTTTCCTAATGAAGAGATTCAATTAGTGGGGCAGGCAAGCGGGACATTCTTGGCTTGGCCAAGACGTTTGGTTATGCCACTATCGGCACGAGACCAAGGTAATATACATATATATATATATATATATATATATATATATACACATATTGTCTATTTACTCTTTTCTAGTATTATAATTATATAAATGTTTAATTAATTGTTATCATTTGTTTAGGAGGACTTGCGTCGTGCTAAGCATAAAAAATAACCTATTATTGATGAGGATCTGACGAGAATGTGATGATGATCCCATCTCTATGTTGTTAGCCGTATTACCACGGTTGAGGAAGAGACCGTGTCGAGATACAATGGGATGTTAGAGTGTTTGGAATTGACAATTCCAGTGTTCCATTGTACATTTCCTTGCTTGATGCTTTAGAAATTGTCTGGGGAAATTGCATGTTAAACATTTCCATCATACAATTGTGGGCAATGTAAGTCATTTTCATTTATGTTTCTAAGATTATAATAATTATATTCAACTTATAATTAATTGTTTTAGGTACCTTGACAATTTGAGTGTGGAAAAAGAAAAATCCGAAGTATACGGATTTATTGAGCCTCAATCCATCCAAAAATCTGGAAATACAAAGGTTGGAATCCAACAATATATGCAAACATGGATGAGTGACTCAAAAAGACATATATATTTGGCTCCATACATTGAAGCGTTAGTATTTTAATTTGTATTTTAATTTATATTTTTGTAACTAATTTTTATGTCATACAATGTAGGTCCCATTGGCAATTAATTGTAATCATGCCCCGGGATTACACTGTGGTGTGGTTTTGTTCATTACATCGGAAACCGAGTCAAGAAATGAAAAGCTTATTACAAGGGTAACTTTATCTTTTATTCATTAATTATGTTTTTAAATTGTGAATACATATTGAATAATATATGACTTTTTTTCACTTAGAATCGTGTTCCGGAACTAATGTTCTAAGTTGAAAACCTATAACAAAGACTTTGCAGTTCATTTATCCTAAGGTTAGAAACTTATTTATATAAGTGAATACCATAATTATTGTTTGTATTTCAATTTTGAAAATAATATTATGTTTTTTTCATCATTTCAGTGTAATAAGCAAACCGACTCGTTTGAATGTGGTTACTATGTAATGTATTGGATGAGAGCCATAGTTTGTGCGGGTTTAATTGATTCTTGGACTGGAGGTAATTACTTTTAACATTAGTTAAGTTTATTTAATTTTATTCATGTTGCATGCTTACAAGAGTCAAATTCATGTTTCGGGTATTTCAAGATCCATCTCCATTACCAGAATCCGAGATTACGTAAATTAGAGAACAATGGGCAAAATTTTTTGTTCAACAATTCTAGTACATTATTTTTTAAGTTCTTGTTCATATTATATTGTGTGTATTATGTAGTTTTAGTTTAGTTTGTATAGGTAGCTTAGTTTGTATAGGTAGCTTAGTTTGTAATAGATTTTTTAGTTTGTATGTTTGTATTATATTGTTTTATTATGTAGTTTGAATTATATAATATTATATTTTTAATTTACTAGCTAAAGAAAATTGAACCTCTGGACTATCTGGTTGTAATATTTGCGAGGTTTTAGTTGTAAAACGGAATAAATAAACCCAATTTTTAAATGCGACGTAAATTTTCTGTTTTTTTTTTTTAAATTGAAAAGGTTGTTACTTCGCTTTAGTGTAAATCTACGTCGGATCTTGATAATTGACGTAAATCTACGTCGGGCAAAAGATCCGACGTAAATTTACGTCTCCCGCTTTAACGTCGGACTTAAATACGACGTAAAAAACCCTAAATACTTGACGTAAAAGCCCCTTTTTGCACTAGTAATAGTGATAGCGAGGTTGAAATGAGTAGCAATGTCCAACCGAGTAAATCAAGACATTAGTAATCGGTCCCCAAATAATTGCAATTCCAAATTCCTTCATCACTTTCTTAATATTTTATAAATGACAAAAACGTGTCTTGTTAATGAATTATACATGCAATGGATAATTCCCCTTAAAGTTGCGAGTTGTGATGAAATTATACAAGTCAGTACACATATCACTTTACTATGCCAGTTTTATAGGATTATTAAATGTGCATATTTTGGTATTGTAGATATTATAATATTTATGAATTAATTGTCATTAATTATAATTATTATTTCTTTTAATAAATTAAGAGAGTGTAATATAGAATTAACTGTAATTAATTTTAGTCTTTACAAGTTAAAAAAAAACTATTTTCTAGAATCGTTAAGTTTTCATTTTATTTTTTTTTACTATATTTTCTCACAAAATATTTGGTTGTTGTTTTTTTCTTATTATTTTTACAATTAACAAAACATATGACAATTTTTTTATTTACTTTATACAAATTTTTCTATAAATGAAATAAGATTCTCCAAAAATTTTCTCTAAATTTTGTAAAATCCTACAAAAGATCAGTAAAAGAAAATACACAAAACATAAAATATTATATGAGTTTGTTTAATAAAAACAGTGATAGTTCTAACATATAAATTAACTATTCAATTAATAACCAAAACAAAAATTAATTTATTAAACTAGTATAGTTTTTAATAAATTAACAATTCACATAAAGGTATATTTTTAAAAAAATATATAAAAATTTATATATAAAAAAATTATTAGCTAACTAGTTTGTTGGTTAATCAACTCACTCCTTAACCAGACGAATAAAACTATAACTCATTCTAATTATTTTCACCTATTCCATTTTTACTATAGATAGGATGAATAAAAATTATATACATTTGTGCAAATTGTAATTTATAGGAATTAACTATGATTAATTTTAACTATTCTATATTCTATTTTCTTTTAATAAATTAAGAAATTTTGAAAGAAAATAATGAATTTTCATAAACCATCATGCAAGCACTACTAGTCAAATGATAGAACAACACAATTTCAAAATTGACTTATGCTAAACATAACATGAGTGACAGATCTTTTTGGGAGTTGAGGGGGTCGTGGTCCTCCAAAGTTGTGTAACTTTCATCTAATGTATGATTTTGACCTCCCTAAAACTTAATCAACATTTAATATATTTACTTGTATATTTACAATTTTATCCTCTCAGACCCTTCCTCTATTTTGTAACTCTCATATAATTTATGAGTTTATCCCCTCAAACTTAATGATCATTTAATATATTTAAGTATATATCTACAGCTTTATCATTTCATTATTTTATCTCATTTTTTCTTTTTATATTTATTTATTATTTATTAATAATATATTATTTAACCTCTGAATATGTACTCCCAATATGTAAAGATCCGTCAGTGACCCAATCACAAATCTTATTGATTTGCTAATAATTTTGTTATCAGAAGCATGAAATGAATCATAAACTTGGAACATCAATTCTATATTCTAACCAAAAAGGACTTTTCTTTGAACTTAGAAGCAATTGTTTACAATGATCTCATCCCAACCCAAGGGATGAAAATGTATATACGGGCTTTTGGGAATTAATGGTACATGGCCTCTTGGGCCATTGGGGTCACATACTGTACCAATTTCTTATGATGTTGCGTGGACCACTAAGCAGAATTTGGGCCTACAGGAAATGTCAGAAAAGTAATCCAAAGGTTCAGATCAAATGAATTCATAGACCTTAAGTTTTTAATATTTTACCTATCTTTTTTTAATAACCAACTTCACTCAAAGATTTGATCAACCTACTCTACATCTTGCTTATCTCACTCAATAAACTACTTAACTCTTTTTTATTATTTTAATTATTAAAAAAAAACTTGGTAAGAATCCAAATTCAAGATGTAAGATCTTATCCTAAACAAGTAAAATAATCCAAGTATAATATGTAAACTAAAATAACAAAGAAACAAATATTTTTTTAACTACTTATAAATAAAAAAGTTTAAAGTAAAAACTTCAATCGAAGGTACTTTATTAATTCTCCAAAAAATGAATGCATAACCCTTGTCCCAATATGGGATCAATGCATATTTAGGCTTTTGAGTTAACTCTTGGTGACTTATTAAATAAGTATAAATATATAATTTCTTTGGAAACCTCCACATTAATATATTTAATTGACACGGAGATGCAGAATATTTTATAGAGAAATGATGATCCCTTTATCTCTATTTGTGGGTTGTGTAAGTAGTCACGTGGATATCACGTGACTCTGTTATCTCTGTCGGCCCTTTATTTAATCTATCTATCATTTGTTAAATTATTTAGTTTAAAAAAAAAAAACATTTAAGTTTTGACAACTTAGAATCTTGTTTGAGGACACAAAGTAACAAACAAATCAAGAAATGAAATGTCTCTCTTTATTTTCAATTATTTGTCATATGCTTTCTGGAAGCTTTGTAGTACCTTCTTAAGGGAATACAACCACACTTATTCAATCTTTTCTTTCTTAAATTCAATTTTCCAATTTCGTGAGTTTAAAATGTATTTAGTCCATATAAAATGAAAAAATATTGATTGTATTTATTGATTTTTTTTTAATTTTGTTTAAGCTTTTCAATGTTGAAATAAATACTTTTATTTTATATCACTTTTAAACATAAAATTATTATTATTATTTGATTCTCAATATTCATTAAAAGAATAAAAGACAAATAACATTTATTTTACAATTATAAACTAACTTCGAAAGTGTTATATGCCTATATGCTACTCCATACACTAATAACACATTTGAAATAATTAATTAATCTGTTATATACAAATATAAATAATTAAGTATCAAATATATATATATATATATATATATATATATATATATATATATATATATATAACTATGGTTTAATATTTTAAGATGAAAATTAAATAAATTATTGTTGAAACTAAAATAAAACTTACTTATTTCACATTAATAAAGATGTGGAGGGAATGTGTTCGATTTGATTTTCGTTGTCATAATATCATATGTTTAAGGTTAATTATTTGAATTCTTGAAAATAAAAATAAAAATGAAAATTATTTGTATAAAATCCTTTGACCGTTAGAAATGAAATTCTATGAGTATGACTTGAATCATACTATTTTGTTTGTTGAAATAGTTATACCTAATATAATACTAGGTCACATAAATCACACTCATAATCAATAATTAATAAATTGATAATTCCAGTGTTCACGACCATTTAATTTAATAAAGTCTTCACATTATATAAATTTTATTTTATCTTTAAATCTATGTTCAAAATGAATTTTGTAGTCAAAATTTTATAATTCGATTCACAATAAGTTAATTTATTAATTTTGTTTAAATGACTGAAATAGATTGATCAAGTGTGATGACTCTATAAAATAAGTGAATTTTGATGGATTAATTTATTAAAATATATTTTATTAAAAAATTTACACTTACGTATACATAGGAGTAAGAATTTTTTTTATATTAGTTTCAATACATTTGGTTTCCCGTTAAACTGTTAACAAACTTGTATTTTGTCATGTATTTCTTTCAATTATAAATTTTAACTTGTTTTCCATTGACAAAGATTTGTACCGAAAATATTATTTGTTTTCACTATTTAAACAAATTAAAAATAATATAACAAATTTTGAATTAAAGTAAACAAATAATAATAAAAATACGAGTAAAGGTATTTTTTTTCAAAACTTTGCAAATGATTACATGTTCACAATAGCCTATCAATGTCAAGTTTGATATCCCATCAGATTTACACCAAGATTAATCAAATTAATGCTTTGTGAACAACTATTTATACTTATTCCAAGATCACAAAATATATTTTGTATTTGAGTTGGATGGTCTACTAACCAAGTTGAATTCATTTTTTTTTTATGAATTGAATTCTTAATTAAAATATTGAATTAAGATTCTTGACTAACATTGTTTTCGACAGTAGGTAGTGTCCCCCAACTATAAAGCAACTTTAAATCATTGTAAAAATAATTATGAAACATTAGTACGTATAATTTTATTGTCATTTAGGTTTAATTAAAAAATTATTCGTTAATTTAGTTAATAAAACTATATCTTGATTGTTGAGTAACAGCTAATCACACCCAATTATTTACTATTTACAAATTAACTAGTTTTAAAATCGACATATAAAAAAGGAAACTAACCCATTGAATTGGGTGTAGGGTTTAATAAATATCATTCTCGCTTGGGATAGATTAAATACTTTAAAGAAATGAGACAGCAGAATCATCTTTCTCTCTGTGTACGATATTTTAACGAAAATAAACAACAAAGTAATGACACATTAATTAAAGACCAGAAAAAAAGAACACAAAAGGAAAAAAAGAAATGAAAAATTGAAGTTCTCCAACTGTGTACTCGATATTTAAATAATGGCCATAATTAAGTGGAATAATTAAAAAATTAATTGCATTGAGCAGTGATGGACCCTTTAATTATGGGCAAAGATGCCCAAAGACATGTTAACACCATGGCTTTACTTCTCTACTCTGCCACTCATTATAATATTTGGCTTCACTTACTTTTTCCACACTCCAATGACTTGAATTGAAGATCGATCTGAGTTATGATGATAAATTAACAAAGTAATTAAAATAGAAGTTCTATCCTTTTGAATATTGTGAACCCTAATACGGATGAAGGAGTAATTATGTTATGGGCACTGCGCATTGATTACTGTGATGCAACTGCGTGAACTTTCCACTATGAGGTTGTGGCAGTAGAGTGCCGTTGTGGCACCTCTTTTGGAATAATGTTGACTTGTACAAATCATAATTAAGTACTAATATTAGATGAAATGTAATCTTTTTTTTCTGATATAAAATCGATAACTGTTGAAACAGGACCAGGAAGAAGAAATGAATAAGATATAACTGATGAAGATGAATCGTGAGTTGGAATGAAAGGGATGAAATGGCATTTGTTTTGGGTGAAGTGAAAGCCAATAAAGATTCTAGATAACTGTTACAAGTCAAACCTTTCACCAAACCTCGTCTCCAAGTTTCTTTGTCAACTCTTACGGACTCAGCGACAGAGACTCTTCATCATACTTTATTCCTAAACAATTTGCTCAGAATTGTCCTGTTTTTCTTAGTACTGTTAACTGCTTCACCAATCATTCATTTCTAGAATGCTTATTTTGACCACAATGTCCAATTAAAACCTCACAAAAAATAAGTAATACCATCACATTCCAAAATATCTAGTTTTTGTTATATCACGTCATACATTAAAAATTAATCTTTAAGACGACACAGATAGTTCTGAGAGAAGTGCATCACAATTTATTCAGTGGAGGACACTTTGGCTTAACAACTCCAGAGAGAAAGCCAACCCCCCTTATCTACATTTATGATGTATGACAAAAGACATATGAATTTGTTTGCCCCTTGTTGTTATTAATGACAAATCTCTTTCTTTCTGTCACTTTTTTTTTTTTTTTTTTTTTCTGTTAGTACTCACTCTTCTTGTTAGTACTGAATTAATTAGCAAACATGAAAAGATTACAAAGTGTACCATGACATAGCAGCTCAAGTAAATAACTTCACCTGTTTTCGTATTATTCATTTATGAATGACACTATCTAGGGTCTATGACTCTTGAATCCATCAATTTCCCATTATAATTAGATTCATACAAATTTCTCAGTATCTTTTGGTGACTATGCACATGCCACTAAATAAAACAAACTTAGATCTTTAACTAATCAAGGCTCTAGCATTCTAGCTATACTATACACATCCCACCACATAAATCAAATTGTAGATCATAGCATTAAATCCTTGAAATTGAAACATCAGAAACCATTTCATCTGTAATTGTCACCCCAAGCACCGTATTTTCACGTTCATAAACATCACTATCTCGCATTATCCACATACGTTCAATTCTGGTAATTCTCACTATTCTCAGATTTTGGTTTATTTTTCATTTTCATCAAGTTTTTGTTTTTGTTACCAGAATTTTCACGATTCGACCCCTATAAAATTTGGAAACCAAAATTGAACATGTTCGGATTCATGTCCAGCGTTAGGGTCCCCGTTGCGTTTTACCATTTTGACCAACCCTCCAAAAGTTTGTGGTACCCACGTCGAAGGTTCGGAGCCACAGAAACAAACAATTTGGTGACACTTCGGAGGTCCAAACCGGTCATTTCAACACACAACACTTTCCGGACACGTAAGGCATTTAAAGAATGAGAGAGGGTTTTTCCGTAATTTCATTGGTCCCCCATGTTTTCAGACAATGATTTCCGTTCAAGAATGGCTTGCAGAGTTGGCAATGTCCTTCTTCTCCCTTACCTCACCGATCCGTACACTTAACCTGATTTCTCACTCTTCGTCTCTTCTCTTTGGCAGTTAAGCTGCTCCAATCCACACACCCACCTAATTTCTCTCTCTAAATTCTAAAATCTCCTGTAAAATAAACAAGTACTTCTATAATAATCTCTATTGTTTTTTTGGCTACTGGTTTCTCTCTCATAAATTCGTTCATTTAATACTTCCCGTCCCACGCGCACATTCATTGGTTTCAGCTGGAGAGCTATCAGGCAGAAGGGGGTAAATAAAAGAGGAAAAAAAGGGACTTGTTTTGGGTTTTCACTGTTTCAGTGTGAGGAAGATGCCTCTGGTGAGGTTGCAGGTGAGGAATGAGTTCAGTTTGGGACAGCCTGAGTTGTACAGAGAGACCAGCAGAGAGGACCCTAAAGCTGTGTTGGATGGTGTGGCTGTGGCTGGTCTTGTTGGGATCTTGAGGCAACTTGGTGATCTTGCCGAGTATGTTTTCTTTCAATATCATCTTTGTTTTCTATATGGGTTTGTTTAAAATGGTGAATTTGCAATTTTTATGCTTATCGGAGTCGTTTGCGAAATGGAGTTGCTTAATTTCTGTAGTTCTCAGTCTTTAATGGGGTCGAGGGTTGGGGATTGCTGAGAATGTTGGTTTTAGATGTAACAGAATAAGGTTGGGTTTCGTTTATGGAGAAAGATACTTAGCCGTTGGAGTTGAGGTCGGTGTTTTCGGTATTTGGGCCAAATTTGAATTGGTAAGGAGACAATATGCTCTTTGACTTTTGTTTTCGGTTGAGCTTTGTGTAGACTCTTATAGGTTGTATTGTACAGCTCGACCTTGGTTGCTCTCTGGACAATCGCTCAAATTCATTTCGCCTTTTAGAGTTTGGTGGTTCACGAGTTGCAATGCTTTCAAGGAATGAATTTGTCTAAAAATGCTTTCTTGCTCCTACATCTGAGCAACCCCTTGATTCTTTCTTCCATTTCTTCTTGAGGTTTTCTCTTTTAACTAAACTGATACAATGTCATGCTCAAGCTAAACAGCTGTAGATATAGTCCATTATAGTAGGAACTTGAACGCCATGGTGGAAATTTTAGTTTTTTGGACCTTCATTTACTGATATATACCACCTTCCTCCCCTGTCTTACTCCTCACTTATTTTGATTCGAGTTACAATCCAAAAACCTTATGTATTGATTTAGGTTTCAATGAAATTGGACTATGGTTGATTCTAAATGGGTCAGATATTAAGTTGCCATATTTGTCTTTTAGCTTGTTGGCAAAGTTGTACCACAAAGCAATTTGATTATATTTTTATTTTCTTTAAATAGCAGAACGTATGTAGATCTTGTATGTTTTTTTTCTTTTCCAAATCTTATACTTGCTGAACCCAAATTGGAGAAGTAGCTAGTAATTATTGCCTTACTTATGATCTACGTTTGTTTGTTTCGGAAAGCATCCCTTGTGCATAATAAATCGTGAAAAGTTTTAATGTTAAAATGAGAAATGGTTTCTTGTGTTGGATTCAATTTAATCTCTCCAACTTCCACTTTGTACTTTCATCCCATTCTGCTATCCGATTGTGTCTCGTATGTGCTCCATTATCTAGGGTAAATATAATGAACCGTTACTGATAACTGTCACACTTACTCTATGCTTGTTGAAATCTTGTTCAATACTTTTGTGATCTTAATTGAAGTAGTTCTATTCCTTATTTTATTTGTATTGATGTTCATAAGTGATCAAACCCTTTTTGAAAATGTAGTTTCGCAGCAGAGGTTTTTCATGGTCTGCAGGAGCAAGTAATGACAACAGCTTCCAGGAGTCATAGATTGATGGTTCGTGTTCAAAACATTGAAGCTTCACTACCTGCCTTGGAGAAGGCTGTATTGGCACAAACAAGTCACATACATTTAGCTTACACAGCTGGTATGGATATTTTACGCAATGATCTCAACTATGTGAGGATTTACTGGAGATTATGTTTTTTTTTAATCAGAATAATTTCATCTATGAAAATTATTGCTTTAGAAAATAGATTTATTGTATTTTGCCTAACAAGGTGTACCTTCACCAAATTTATTTGAAGGAATTCTGAAAACCACAAAAAATAGTTTTTTCCCAATTTTATATAGAGCAGCCTAATGGGGTCAGGAGGCTATTTCCAAGATTTGAACCTGTGCCCTTCCAAAACATGTCTTAAAATTTGAACAAAGAATACATGTTATGTTTAACGAATGTTACAGAATGCAAGGCATGGCTGTTTTACAAGTTCTGGTATAAGCATATCTATGTCCCGAGTTAATCAAATAGAGTAGTTTTTGAGATGGTTATTCCCATGTTAAATATTTGATTATATAACAAACTTTTTAACTTGTTTCCTTGAATAGAATCTATTGATATATCAATCATCACTAAATTTTAACTGACATACTATCATTTGTATCAGTGAAGTAGTGTGAAGGGCTTTCATTTGTTTGTCTAGGATTATACTGCTCAGGCAGCTAAATCATATTGATGTTAGGTTGTTTTATATGAAGTTTCTTTCTATTTCTTTACATGGTTGATGATATCCACTTTAATTTTTTGCTCTCTCTTTTGCATTTGTCAAAAAGGGAAATTGCTCTGAGAAATTTCATTTGTCTTCGGGCATGCCATAGTTAAAATATAGATCTTTGTTGATATGCAAGCCCTTAATTTGTTGGAAAACCTCAAACTTTAAGAAAGCGAAAAATACCATGGTTGGCTTTAATATGTTCAATAAGTCTAGTTATTGTGATGAAATGTGGTCTGATGATTGTTGAATATGGTAATGATTTCTGTACATATAATGTGGATTATGCATGGCATATATCAATTTATATCTATGAATCTTATTTTAAATTATGGAATACTACATTATTGATGACCATGGTTTCAATGTTCAATGATTGTGGTAGTCCTTAATAAAAGAAGTTTCCTTTCAGGTTGTGAATGGCATCCACGCATAAAACCTGGCCAAAATCATTTCATTTACAATGACTTGCCTCACTTTATTATGGATTCATATGAAGAATGTCGTGACCCTCCACGTGTACACTTGCTTGATAAGTATGTTAAGTTTCCTTCCCTCACTGTCTTTCTGTTTGAGAATAGCAAGACTAGTTAGGTACTTCAGCTTAGAATAATTTCCAAGGTCTATATGATAAAAATTTTACAATTTTTTTTCAAATTTGGACTTCAAATCCTGGAAAGTGGTGCGTAGCAGCCAGCTGCCCTAAAGACACTTTAGCATGTTAACTACTGTTTTTAAAGTTTTTATATTATTTAATTAATGTATACTATATACCTATAAATTAAAAAAATGATAAAAATGACTCAAAATTAATCACATTCATAATTAACAATAAAACATCATAACATATGTGTCTTAACCATAGCATACAAGTAAATACTAACAACGGTCAAATAGAAATTTCCTAGATAAAAATCATCAATCAATATCTTCTAAATCCAAGTCTTCTTTTCAAAACTGAGACAGATTCGTTTGTACTTCATCATAGACTAATTTCTAAGGTCTGGATGATAACAAAAATTAGTCTTGTTCAAATTTGGACTGGTTACCTGTCCTATTTGCTGTCTCTAGCTTTGAAAGAGTTGAGTTCTGTCAACTAATCTTGCTAAAATCAAGTGTCTTGTACTGGCTAATGAAACATTCCATGTGTTAATCAGATTCGATACTGGTGGCCCAGGATCTTGTTTCAGGAGATATTCTGATCCAACCTTCTTTAAAAGAGTATCTGCTGATTCAGATGAATCTTACATTGAGAAGACCGAGAAAGCAAGGAAATCTCATAAAAGCAAGGTACTTTAATGATCCTAGCATTTTAATGACAAGATTACTTAATCCTGTTTTTTTCTGCTTATGTGCATGCATTGATTTCTTTGCAAACAATTTCTTGGTGCTTATACAAAAAATATTGGACAGAAGAAAAGGGCGCGAAGGAATGGAGAAATTTTGAGAGGTGAACAGAGGCATAGCAGTAGTGGCAGGTATTACATATTTACATCTATATATGTCTATCACATATCTAATGTTGGCATACTAGTTATTCATTCAAAATCAACACTTACATTTTGTATTGACTACCCAGAATGCAATCTGTTGTTTCTGCTGTCAATGGGCGAATTTCTTCCTCACAAACAGCCTCCACCATAGATATGAGAATGAAGTCAGATCTGGAACATTATTCAAATTCTTTTGATTCAAAATCTGGTGCTGGCTACATTGAATGTGTTTTCCATCCAAGTAATTCTATGCGATCTGATGAGCCAGATTATAAAGAGCCATCCTCTACTAGGTTGACACAGAAAACTGATACTCTGCCACCAGTATCTCCTCCAATAGATGATAGTATTTCACATGATTCATTGGAAAAGCAAGTTGCCTCTAGTTCATCTGGTGTCACTTGGGATGAAAAGGAAGAGATAGTGGAACCTACTAGTCAAGCCCATGATCGAGATGACACACCAGATAGGCTTGTGGAAAAGCATGACTCAGATATGAATGCTAATGAGGCTGTTACCATGACAAACATTGACCACAATCATATCCTACTTAATGAAGAAAGCAACCTGAAACTCGTCTCCAACAGGGTTCAAACTGATGATATTGATAGTGAACCCGATAATTACGAGGATGCTCTCAATACCATTGAATCAGAATCTGAAAATGATATTGATTATATAACCAAACGAGAGGTTCAACAATTCACTTCACATGTCACTCATGGAATTATTGAAAATGGAATTACGGAATCGCCTCCTAATTTACTGGACAGTAATTTATCCAACGTGATTTCCCAGACTGAGTATTCTGTTCGCTTAAATGAAGAGACAGCCATAAATTTAGCTGATTCACTGCAAGAAAATCATGTTCTTGATCTTGTATCAAAGCCAAATACATCTAATTTGGAATCTGTAAGTCCATCCGATGTCCTTGATAGTGAAAACTTAACCAGTGACACTGCTTCCTTAAACAAAGAAACATTCAGGGATTTGCCTAAGTCACTGCAAGATACCCTTCCTCTTACATCAGAGCCACATGCATCTAATTGTGGAGCTGTGAGTCCATCAAATGTTTCTTATAGTGAAGAAATGACTAGAGATACGGTTTGCTTCAACAAAGAAACGTTTGGGAACTTGCCTGATTCATTACAAGAAATTCTTCCTATCACATCAAAGTCAAATGCATCCAATTTGGGATCTGGGAGTCCATTAGAAATTCTTTATAGTGAAGAAATTACTAGAGATACCCTTTGCTTCAACAAAGAAACGTTTGGGAACTTACCCAACTCAATGCTAGAAATTTCTCCTCTCACATTAGAGCCACATGCATCTAATTTGGGACCTGGGAGTCCATCAGATGTTCGAGAGACGATTAGAGACACAATTTCCTTAAACAGAGAAATGTTCAGTAAGTTACCTGACTCTGTGGAAGAAGTTCCTCTTTGCACATCAGGCGAACATGCATCATATTTGTCATCTGTTAGTCCATCAGATGTTTCTGTTAGCAAAGAAATAGCCAAGACTATAGCTGATTTGCATCCTTCCAAGACACCTGCGTGTGAACAGGCTCCTCACACACTTGGAAATTCTGTTTTGGATCACTCTGTATGCACTGATACGTACATGGGTTCTTCTACTGTCAATAATACGTTGTCAGCACCAATTGAAACCACTGTAGCATTTTCTGGTTCCGAAAGCACTACTTTACCAGATGAGGAAGCAGGTAAGATCAGTACCAGTATCTGCAAATATGACGAGACACGGAAAGAGTCTTTGACTGATAACTCAGTTAGGTTTTGGACCAATGGTGGATTATTAGGACTTGAGCCATCAAAACCACCTGATTTTAACAAGTCAAATTCTTTAAGTCAAGGGCCTTCGAGCGCAAAAAGTGAAACAGATGGTGCTTCAGGTCATAGTGCAGTGCAAAAGAGCGATGATTATGAAGAGGAACAGGAATTGTCAGAAGAGATTGCAGAACAGATTCTAAAGGAACCAAGTTCTAGATTCATAAAATCAGGCCATAATGATGACCAAGCTTGTACCTCTGAAAAGACCACTTGCAAATCTCAGCAGAGTAACGGATTTGGTCAGACCGAAAGAAATAGTTTAGGGGAAATCAGAGTAATTACTCCTGGAAGAGGTCTCCCATCAGCCCCTGACACGAAGGACAGTACTGAACCTGACCAGGGAAATGGCGAAAACTCATCACGAGTGTTTGGACTTAGTCGTAGATTATTAATAAATAGCTTTCAGCGGAAAGTTTCTTTTGATGAAAAATCTGAACATTATAATTCTCTGAAATCTGTTATACTGGAGCAGAGTGGTCAAAATGACATTGTAGGACAATCATTTCCTGAGACAACCACTCTCAAAGAGAAAGTTAGTTCTGGATATCCTATAAAGTCACTTCCTCCTTCACCTCCACTTGAACACATGAAAATATCTTTCCATCCTATCATTGGTCTAGAGACCTCCAAACTAAAACTGAAATTTCCTGATGGCAGTAATCGTCATGAAAGCATAAAGGATATGTTTCCTTCTTTTCAGTTGGTCCCTGAATCTTCCATTCCTCTGGATGGTTCAGTTTCTCACTCTGATGATGATGACACTTTCTGTAGATCATCTCCATACATATCAGATGATTGTCGAAGCCCTCGCTCTGACTATAATTCTGATCAGTGGGAATCTGATGAAACTCCTGAAAGCAGTGACCATGGAGTACATGATTCTCCTCGCAGAAGGTCATCAACCGAGTTTGTGTCCAATGATGATGCCAATGTTAAAAGTGGAAATGGTACATGTACCTCAAATGGCGTGGAACATTCTTTATCGAGGCCTTTACTTGATTTTCCAAGTTATGATAATGTTAATCCTGCACTTGAGAAAGAAAGTAAAAAGCATTCCGAATGCAATAATGCTGTTATGCCACATGGTCATGCAGAGCCTACACCACCTCCACCACCACCTCCTTTTCCTCCAACACAATGGCGGGTCTCAAAACCACAGTTGGATATTACAAATGAGACACAACATTGTATATCTGACGATGCTGAACTTATCAATAATCATAGGCTTCCAGATTCCACTGTCTTCCTGCAACCTAGGTTCACCAAGGTTGAGCAAATACAAATTAGTCACGATGGTCATGAGTCTTATGACAACATTATATATAAGTTGAAGGACAAGGTATCAACATTTGGTCTTACCTTTTTCTTGAACATTTTATGTATGCAACCATGATGTACATTGGAATCTAACAATGCATTCATCTCATTCAGCGTTTCCTGCAACCAGCTCAGCAGAAGTTGCAGGGTCAGAAAGAAGCAAACCACTTGAGAATGGGAAACGAGACAGATGAAAGAGAAGATTTCCTATATCAAATCAGAACTAAGGTATGTAGTCATTTCATAATCTCAACTATTTAATGGTAAAAATAAACATTTTGGTCCTCCACAGATATAAGCGTCATCAAGTTTGTTCTTCACTGTAAATAAACCAAAATGGTCATTAAATACATCATATGCTCACATCAAAGTAGTCCTCCGAATGACAAAAATTGACACTAGAGCCTACATATCAATCCAGAATATGATCTTGTAGATTTATCTGTAAACAAAGTAATAATATTTTTACTGTATTTAACTTTTTCATTGTTGGTTTAGGCCTTCAACCTGAGACCCACAGTAACAGGAAAGTCAAATGATGCCACTGGCCCCACTGCAAACGTCAAAGTTACAGCAATTCTAGAGAAGGCAAATGCAATTCGTCAGGTATTTGTCGTCATACTCTTGTTATCTATTACTGTTTTCCCCCACTGTAATTGGTGTCTGCATTTTATATCTAATTAGTATCCATTTTCAGGTTGTTGCAAGTGATGATGGTGAAGATGATGATAACTGGAGTGATACATGACATTTTTTTTGTTTCATATACAAGAGCTGTCCTTTATGTATTTTAGTCTCTTGAAGTGAAGTTGCATGAGCCTTTGTTGTATGTACGCATGTGTGAATAAATCTTGTTTATCTGTTATTAATTTTAGTGCAGTTTCTTTTACAATCGTATGATGAACTTGTCTTCATTACTTTTTACTTTGAATCTTTGGGCTGTGAAATTACAAATCCAGGTTGGTGTTTATACAAAGATCCTGAAAAATAAATGATAATTCCGATCACTTGACTATTCTTTAAACGGAATATATGTCATGTTCTTGAACAATTTTTCTGCTAGTGCTACTAATCTTGGAAGTGTCGATGTACCTGTGCATACTAGTCCTCACATCGCGTTAGTAATTTTTTTTGTTTTTAACTAATAATAGTTAGAAACTTTTTTTTTTAAATGTAGAAATTATGGAATTGAATTTTACCATTCATTAATATTGTTTTATAGATCAAAACATGAAATGAAGGAGTTGAAGTATGATAATCTATTTAATGATTCAACGATTTATATATTTTGTGAGTTGTTGTTACCAATTAGTTGGTTTCAGAAGTTCATACTTTATTTTTAGTTTGAGAAAAATTGGAGGTGAAACTATTAAGAGAAATCAAGTTAATATTTTTTTTATAGGCATGATGATTTAACAAAGTAAGTTATCATAATTTTTGTTATTTGATGAATTGTACTGTATTGTCATTAATTAATAAAATTATTCTAAGAAAGGAACTGAGTTAGGAATAAGTAAGATATGATAAATAAATTTTTCTCCTTCCTTCTACCTTTTTTATTTTACAATTTCATTATTAAATAGTCGGTTTTTAAGAAGAAATGGCTTAATCTTGAAATGAGAGGTTTTTAATTTATGGTATAAGAGTAAAAAATATTATAGAGATATTAAAAGTTATTAGTTATGTGCTCAAAGTGTATTCGGTTGACTTAAATGAATTGAACCATTAACACTCTCTCTAAATTCCAATAACCCTAAACAAATATATATATATATATATATATATATATATATATATATATATTCATGTTATTTTTATTTTAATAAATATAGTGTAAATTTATTGATTAAAAATATTAATGATAATATACTTCTTATTCCCTCAATTTATTTTGTTGGAATATAATAATTAATGAGAAGGAGGATAATGTGATAATGTGATTTAAAAATGAATCTTTAGGTAACCTTAAGATTTCACTAAAAATAAATAAATAAACAATATAAATATTTAATAGAAAAAAACATTTTTTTATACAATAATAAAAAAATATTTAATACGGTATCAACTTAATAATATTATTGGTATGTTATTCTTTTTATGCGATAGCGATATAAATAATATTATTTCATTATTAATGTCTCTTCAAGATATCCACTCAATAAAAAATATATTTTAAAATTAAATTTGTTTTTGAATGATAAATTAGAATTATTTATTTTTCAATTTTAATAAATTAAAATATAATGTAGTTAAAGTAAATAATAAGTAAACGCAGATTGTTTTCTACTTTAACATGATATAATAACGTCTCTTAAAAAAGAGAAAATAATAATATAAAAACATGGGTTAGTTTGAGTAAAAGGATGCGACTTTCCTTCGTATGATTATTATGCAATAAAACTGTATTTTCTAAATAAGTTAAAATCATTATTGGTATGACTTTTTTAATAATGATCATTATAAAAAAATAATAAAATGTTGGTAATTGAATGGAAATATAATTTTTTTATTTTATTAATATAGATTATAGTTAATAATTCTGATTATATTTAAAAATATTAACTTTTTTTTTTTTTTTACTTAGGGATGATATTCGCTTAGATCTACTTCGAGGATGATATAAGAAATATATTATTGCTTAAATTTATGCAGATGATTATAATAAAGAAAATGATAGAAGAAAATAGGAGTAAAACATTATTTTTACTAATGCATTTAATATTATTGAAACGGAAACAGAACACACTAAACTTATATTATGATATTTAATAATTTAATTGCTTTATTTTGATTAATAATTTCTGTTATATATAATTATTTTATGTAAAAGAAAAACTAATAATATGTTATTTGATTATTATAGTATTTAATTATTTAGCATAATAACCAAAAATTTGTTGGATATTTTTGTTTGACAGTAATTTTAATCTAAAATTTTGAGATATTAAGTTATGAAATTTTTTATTTATAAGTTAATCAATTTTTTTATTTTTAATTAACGTAGACTGCAGCGTACATTTAAATTTTCAATACAATCCGGAATGAATTAAAGAAAAAAATGAAAAGGTTATATAAGAAGAAGCTAATCAAATTATCCTTCTATAAGAAGCTAAGTTGAAGGTTAAGACATAGATTTTGATGATCATGATTAATTTCTTTCAAACATTTTCACGTCCTTTCTGCTGTATAACTAATTTTTCTATGTAAAAGTCATTTAAATTGGAAACCTTTACGAGGCTCCATTGCAACGTATCTGCTGCTAACACTAATAATAATAAGCTTAATGCATGTTCTTTTCCTTAATCTCTGACGCAATGCTCAATTTTACTAACAATTTTTTTTTAACAGATTTGCATTCAACAACTTGCAATTTGACAGAGGGTATCCCAGAGGCAGAAAAAAATGAGTAATGATCATGAGACACCTTCATCTGTGCCCACAGTGAAAGGTACAGTGTATCAGTGTGTTCATTTCAATCCATCGTTATTATTAAATACATCTTTTAGTCTCATAGTCCATGTTTCATTTCACCATTTTTCAATATCGTTAATATTGAGACATCATTAAAGTTGATTAAAGTTAGTTTTAATATTATATAAAATATATATAATAGAATTTATATCTTATTTATACTATAATTACGATATATGTTTTTAACAATTTTTTATAATCTCCTTTTTTTCCTACTTTTGTACCATGTGTAAATGATGGGAATTGGTTAATTATCAGGTAACCCCACAAAAGTTAATGGTGGGAAAATGGTTGAGTGTGGTGCAGAGGAATTTGTGAAGGGTATTTATGTGAAGGTGGAAGATCCTGAACTTGCATCAAAGGTTGTTGTTTCTCTGCTTCCATCGCGTCGATTAATTATGAGTACTGCAGCAGCACCACTATGTCCAAGGGGAAGTTGGTGATTTTTTTTATTTTTTTTTATTTTTTTCTCTTTACATACAATTTAATTGCAGTATAACATAGTTAGGGGTTATTTTTTAGTAAGTCAAATTATATTCTTGGCCTTTTGTTTTATTTTTAAGTTTCATTTTTCTCTTTCTATTTTTTAAAAATATATATTCATTGGTCACAATTTGACAAATTTAAAATGATTATCCTTTGAATAATATTTTTAATTAATGCTTCTTCTTTCAGGAAGGCAATTTGCTGCTTCTTCTTTCTCGCAAGCCTCACCGCGCTCATCTTATTTATTATCGATATCATTCATCATACATAACACTGTATCTCAAATTTACAATAATTAAATATTCTCATTTATTTCATTTCATGTGGATGTTTAGTGTCAAACTTCAAAATAAGTGTTGTTTTTATTTACAATATATGTTTTATCAGTGAATCTAATATTTTCTTAATAGCTCAATTTTATTTCACTCCACTTTTTCTTGAGTAAAGGAGAAAGGAAAGTGGAAAAGAAAAAGTATCAATGAATGAGATCAATTTTTGTGACCTAATATTAGACAAACAACATTGAACTTTTCCCTTATTTTAATAAAAATCCATGACTATGATATTTTGATCCAACATAACTTTATACGTAGTGATTTGACTTTAAGAGAATGCTCAGGAAAAGGTGTATCCTTTATCGATAAAGAAAGCTGATTGATGCTTCCTAATCTTCATTATTAAACGGAGTAATGAGTTGGAAATGGAATCACTTTCCAAATTAATAATATGAAAACCCTTTTGCAAGGAAAAAACGACATATACTTATAAAATTATTTGATGGAACATAAAATTAACGTTGTATGATAATTTATGTAAATTTATTACATATACTTATACCATCTAAAAAAAATTAAAACTATTTTTTGAGATTTTTCTGTTATTAAAAAAGTATTTCAATTGGTTTTATAAACAAAGAAATATATTAAAAGTTTTTGGAAAAATCTATTGGGAGCTGAAAAGTTGGCTTTATGTGTGAAAAAAGTGCTACCAAATGCCATTAGAGGATATGACTTTAATTATAACAATGAGTATATAGAAATAGAGATAAAAAAAAATTGCACGATGTATATTAAAATGTTATTAGTGATCGACCTATGATAGTTGTGTTAGTGTCCTTTAAAAGGCACAAAAAGTGAAGTGTAGATCATCCAACTCACGTGTAGAATATATATCCAGCTACATGGAGTTTCCTCTTTATGCAACTTTTCTTTTTCATACATATAAATATAAAGTATATCATTTTTTGAACATGTACTTCAACACTTTTGAGGAATAATGTGTGTATGAATGTGTAGCTTATCTAAACAATTAGGAATGATAGTGAAGAAGAGCATAATCATTACTTAATTATCCATTAACATCAGCTAGCAGACATGCTTATTTTCCAAACTTCAATTGCAAGTTTGCGTAGATGAATGCATTTAGACATCTGAAACAAAAATTAATTAATAAACAATATTCCTGTGTTTCTCCTTGGGAATTTTTTAAAGAAACTAACGTGGAATAGACATCCTTTTTCTGCTAATATAATGTTTTTGAGCTGGCTTACATTTGAAAATGGAATATAAGTATAGAATTTAAATACAAGAAGCTACTTTCTCTCTTCCTCTCTTTCTCTCTCAACACGTATAAAGTGAGGATACGTTTATAAAAAAAATTGACGACTTTTTTTATAATTCCTTTTCCTTTCTTTACATCCACTTATCAAATAAGCTACAAGTACTTTTGTTTCTATCTTTACAAGATTTATTGTATGAAATGAGAATATTATAATGGAGTGCTTTAAGACTCTGGATTATGTGTAGATTTTAGCAGTGCATGGTCATGACGTAGACTACTGATGATGTGTACAAAAAGCTCATCCATAGCTTTTTCTAATTTCTACTCTTCCAAACCCTTTTAACTTTTTCTTCTTCTTTTTCTCCTTTGTTTAGTTTAATTTCGTAACGCACTTTATATTCCACCTACGTTTTGGCGTTTATCACATGGACTTTCTGCCAAAGACTCGTGGTTTATGATTGTACTAACTATTATGATGCACTTTTAGCTTTATTCCCCGTGCATATATAAAAACATCTCCACAAATTTTCCTCCTCAACCCCAACCTAGACCTTCTTCTTCACTAAGAATAATCTCTCTTTTTCTCTGCTCCTCCCTCTAAAATGGCCCAAGTAGAAAGTGGCCAAGGTAGTGAAGGGATCAAGCTGTTTGGAGCAACGATTAGCTTGTATGGTAGAGAAAGTAAAGAGGATAAAAAAGTGAGTGAAGATGGGACAGAAGAGAAGAGACCTGATAAGATCATAGCATGTCCAAGATGCAAGAGCATGGAAACCAAGTTTTGCTACTTCAACAACTACAACGTTAATCAGCCTAGGCACTTCTGCAAGGGCTGCCAGAGGTACTGGACGGCCGGCGGAGCCCTTCGCAACGTCCCTGTAGGGGCAGGTCGGCGAAAGGCCAAACCTTCCTGCCATGACCCGACAGGGTTTCTGGATGGTGGACTCGTCGTGTCCACTGTCCAACGACAATTTGGTTTGGAAGAGAGGTTAATCTTGGATGAATGGCATGTTGCCACCATGTCTCACGGTGATTTCCGGCAGTTTTTTCCGTCGTCTAAAAGACGGAGGATCAACTCAGGTGTTCAACGTCAACCTTGTTAAACTCTCTCTTCTTCCATTTTTCTTAGTTAAATATGCATGGAAGTCAGAAATTTGTGTTTTTCATCTTCCACATGGCCAAGTAAAGTGGGCATGACCCGATTGTTTGATTTCTTGGCATATTTGTATATATGAAATGAGCGAAAATATATATGATAGAATTGCTTGTTACTGCAGTTGAGGATGAAAGTGAAAAGGGGTTTGTGATGATCCGGGAAATGACAGAAGATGGGAGTGAGATAGAAAGGAAGGAGGCTTGAAAAGGCAGTGAGATTATGAAGATGTGGGTGCCCCAAACCAATCGTGTTCTTAGCTTCATGTTCTAGAATTCACGCAAAATCAAAATCTACATATACAATTAATTGGTTTACTTTGACGTGTGATCCGCAAAAGCTACACATTGGAAGAAATGGTCAATGAGAAGGAAAGAGAGAAGTTTATAAAAGAAAATACGATAATTTGAGACCAATTTGTACTTTAATTATTATATATTTCCTCTCTGCTTTGAAATTAAGGAATTTATCCGTCTTTTCTTCACAACTTGCCTCTAGATGCCGCCCAAAAACCTTGACTCCACGGTATCTGACATTATATCAAACTAATTTCAAGTTAAGATAAAGTAAACATTCCAATTTCTTGTTTTAGAATCAGTGTGGTCAAATTGTTATTTTATTATAATAATAATAATAATAATAATAATAATAATATTATTATTATTATTATTATTATTATTATTATTATTATATCACTAAAAAAAATAGCCTATTATTACTTACGGAATATTACCTATGGATCCGTAGGTAAATTTTACATTACCTACGGATAAAAATCAGTAGGTAATTATCCATTACCTACGGATATTATCCATAAGTAATGTAATCCGTAGATAATTCCGTAAGTAAATTATATTAAAATAAAAGAATTGTCAAAAACTGATACTCCAACAATTAAACTATTATGATATTCTAATAATAATTTACAAATAAATTATACTTATATTTATTCGTGTAAATATATAAATATATAAATATATGACATATATAACATATAAATATAAAATATATAAATATAAAATATATAAATATATAAATATATAAATACATAAATATATAAATACATAAATATATAAATACATAAATACATAAATATAAATATATAAATATAAATATAAATATATAAATACAAATATATAAATATATAAATATATAAATATATCAAAATATAAATATATTTTATATTTATATATTTACACAGATAAATATAAATATAATTTATTTGTAAGTTATTTGTAAGTTATTATCAAAATTCCAAATAGAAAAGAGATTGATTGTGATGTCATCTGATAACTAGCCAAAATTTTAATATAATAAAAATGTAATTTTAACAAATGAATTTAGCGTCAGTTGAATAAATTTAATTTGTAAAATTATTTTTTACCATATTCATGCAGTAATTACTATAAGAAAAAAAATTGTTTATATAGAGATTACTTTATGATTTTTTACAGTTTATTAAAAAGTTTATTAAAAGTAGTTAGAGACTGAATTTAAAGAATCAGTCTCTAAATTAGAGACTAAAGAATTTGTTTAAAGACTTATTATCAAATCCAAAATTCAAAAATGTAATCTTTAAATGCATCAAATAATCAATTATTCATGAATTATCATTGAAATAGAAAAAAATAAAAAACGTTTACTCGTCGACTCTGAGGTGCTTATTCTCGAACCAAGTCTAGTGTTCACAACTAAACTATAAAACAAACTTCTCGCTATTAAAAATAATACTTTGAAATGCAGAGAAAATGACAAATAAATGGCAAAGAAAATGAGAGAGAATACGTAAAAGAAACATCGAATGGATTATTGTAATTAACTTTTCCAAATTTATATACAATCTCTCTCCCACTCTTTCATGTCATCTGTTTTGGTATTTTTATTTTATTTTTCTCGACCAACTATCACTCTCTTTTCTCTTTCGTATCATATACAAAGTCCTCTTCACACTACTTTCTTTGACCTTTTGATCCAATCAAACTGTTCATAAAACACAATGATCATAGTTAACCATATTGGTAATATTGGGTGATATATATATATATATATATATATATATATATATATATATATATATATATATATATATATATATATATATATATATATATGAAACATAATTAAAATCTATTAGGGTCATTATTTATTAAGTTAAATAATAAAGTGATCTGACTAAATTAAAATGTTTGGCTAAAGACATATGTCATGAAAATAAAATTGTGTAAAGACCATAGAGTAATTTCTAATTTGATGAGGGGCCAAATTAGAAATACTAAAACTTAAGTAATTAACCTAATTTTGATTATTTAATAGGTCATGGTCCCCTTCTGGGAGCACACACAGACAGAACGTAAATGTCACTCCCGTTCCTTTTTTTCTATCCCCATCAAGAGAGAAAATTCAGAGGGAAATACAGGTGTTCTTCAGGTGGAAGATCATAAGATCAATATAGTGCTCTACAAAGACATCATCATTATGGCTAATTCAGGTATCCTTTCGTATTCAGTTTACAACATGTTTATCAGTATGAGATTACGTTTATGTTTGATCGTTAGAATCAAAATCAGGATTATAATTATTATTAGTTTTCTAACAATTGGTATCAGAGAAACCCATACTTGATTCATGTCTCTCTTTAGAAATTAAATTTAACAAAATTTAGATTATGTTTAAATTGAGAACCCTAGTGGAGAATAATCTCCAAATTTTGTAAACCCTAAAATCAAATTTGGGGGTAAAATTGCCCCGTGAGTTCAGCGTCACATTGTCGCCGGTGAGGAATCTCCGACGACACTGCAAGGTTCCAGTACACGAATAAACAGGGGTATAGGTCAGCGATTAGGATCTCGTGGATAGTGGTGGAGACGTGCAGTGGTTCGTGATGGGCGATGATGACACCGTTTTCGTGTTGGAAAACCTAATTCGCGTTCTGAGGAAATACGATCACAATAAGTGTCGGATGCAGGTGGTGGACATCGACGACAAGGAAATCAGGCCGCAGATCTGGGACTCTGCGGGTCAGGAGCGCTTTCGAGTCGTCACTTCCGTTTGGTCTAATTCATCTTCCTTAACGTCTTCCTCCCAGTGCTCTTCGGAGCAGTATAGGGTATCAGGGAGGAGATTCACGGCGTGGAGCGATGGATCGCTTTTTCCGCACATCGCTGCCACATTTCACGCAATGTCTGGAAGAGGTTCATCAACGTTGTCAGATTCACTCACATTTCTGTTTCTAAAACACCTTAATTCTAATAATTTGAATGCGCTTCGAATCACGTGCACTGGTTGGAAAATTACCAATTTTTTGTGTTTTGTCACATGAGTTGAAGTGCTATGGTTTTCATATATTGAAATTAAGGGATTAATACTTTTAATGGAAAATACTTGCAGTGGTGGTCCGTGCCATTATAATTTTTTTTTAAATAAATAATCAAATTTTAGTTTTGTTATATAATATTCAAATTTTTTGGTAGTTTAATATTTTTTGTGAGCAAATTGAGTCAAGAAGTTATCAAAGTAACCTCTCTTGAATTGGGTAGTTCGTGAAAAATATTGAATATTAGTGTTTGTGTATATTCATGCGAGTATTAGCCGGCCCAAAGGAAGATTAATATTTGACCGAATTGCATACACACTTGTAATGATAAACATGTGATAATTATAAGGATTTGCTTTGTCGATGATAGATCAACCCAAAGACTGGTTTGTTGTTGGACGTGCTTTATTGTCAATGTTTGATTATTACAACAAGATACTTCTAACAGTTAATATTAATGTCCAAAGACTTGATATTGATGGTGCATTGAGTGTCTTGAGATGAGTTAAACTATTATTTGAATATTTATAATTATTTATTATTTATAATGTGAGTATAATTAATTTATTTCTCTTGTTCTTAATTCAGCTACAATTATTTATGTATCTGCCAATTTAAATTCTGTTCTGATCCTCAAAAGTATATTTCCTACTTTGGTTTGTTCTGAAGTCAATTTAGCGTCGGTACCTTGGTGGTTAGACTCAGGTGTAACTACTAACATTAGTGTTTCTATGAAGGGTTGCCTAAGCTACCGAAAGCCAATTGATTCTGAAAGATGGCTATATGTTAGAGATGACAAATCGGTAGAGGTGGAAGCTATAGGGCATTTTAAATTGTTATTGAGTACTGATTTTTATTTGGATTAGAAAGACACTTTTGTTGTGCCGTCATTTAGACGGAATTTGGTTTCAGTTTCTTATTTGGACAAATTAGGTTATTTGTGTTCATTTGGAAACAGTAAGTTCAGTTTGTCTTTTAATTCAGATATTGTTGGAACTGGTTCACTTTTGCCTTATGATAATTTGTATTCACTTGATACTGTAACCACCTATAATGAAACCCTTAATACAGAATCACGGGGTACTAAACGTAAAATTGATGATACTCACTCAGGAGCATTATGCCACAGGCGCTTAGGTCATATCTCTAAAAATAAAGTTGAACGACTTATGTTAAATGGAATCTTAGAGTTCATTGACTTCACAAACTTTGATGTTTGTGTTGAATGCATTAAGGACAAACAGACCAGAGCGAAGAGATTAGGTGCATATAGAGCTATAGACGTCTTAGAGTTAATACATACGGACATTTGTGGGTCATTTCCTACACCTTCGTGGAATGGTCAACAATACTTTATATCATTCATAGATGATTACTCACGATATGCATACTTATTTCTTATACATGAAAAATCACAATCTCTGGACGTATTCAAAACATTTAAAGCTGAAGTTGAAAATCAACTCAACAAAAGAATTAAGTTTGTCAGGTCTGATCATGGTGGTGAGTACTATGACAGATATGACGGGTCAGGTGAACAACGTCCAGGACCTTTTGCCAGGTACCTAGAGGAGTGTGGAATTGTCCCACAATATACCATGTCGGGATTACCTAGTATGAATGGTGTAGCTGAAAGACGAAACCAGACTCTTAAAGATATGGTCAGGAGTATGATTTTTCATTCCACCTTATCGAAGTCACTCTGGAGAGAGGCACTAAAGACGAAAGCTTATATTCTAAACAGAGTACCAACTAAAGTAGCTACCAAAACACCTTATGAGCTTTGGACTAGGCGACAGCCTAGTCTGAAGCATTTCCATGTGTGAGGATGTTCAGCTGAGGCAAGGCCTTATAAGCCAAATGAAAAGAAATTTGACCCTCGAACAGTAAGTAGTTATTTTATTGGTTATGCTAAAAGATCCAGGGGATATAAATTTTATGATCACACATTAAAGACAATTTTTGAGACGGTAACTGTTACGTTTTTTGAGGATATTGAGTTTGGGGGAAGAATAAAATTAGGAACTTTGTCTTGGAGGAAGAATTGGTAAGAATTCCAGAACCGATTCAAAAACTACTTTTGATAAAGTAAGTTCAGAACCTCCACAAGGCATTGTTAATGAACCCCTTACTCAAGATGATTTGGTTGTTCATGAAGAACAAACTCAAGATCCTCAAGAACCTATGCATCATGAGCCAATAACTTTGCGGAGATCCACTAGAGAAAGAAGAAGTGCTATTTCGGATGATTACATGGTATTTCTTCAGGAACATGAGGAAAATAATGGTATGATAGAAGATGACCCAGTTAACTTCCGTCAAGCCATGCAAGGTCCTAACTCTGAAAAGTGGATTGAAGCAATGAAGGAGGAGTATAAGTCCATGCAAGACAACAAGGTTTGGGAACTTGTCCCATTACCAGAAGGTATGAAACTCATTGGTTGCAAGTGGATATTTAAGACCAAACGAGATTCTAAAGATAATGTGGAAAGGTATAAGGCTCGTCTGGTAGCTAAGGGTTATACCCAAAAGGAAGGGATTGACTTTAAAGAGACTTTTTCTCCAGTTTCATCGAAAGACTCTTTTAGGACAATTATGACTCTTGTAGCACATAATGATTTGAAGCTTCATCAAATGGATGTCAAGACGGCGTTTCTCAATGGCAACATTGATGAGACGATTTATATGGTACAACCAGAAAACTTTGTGCAAGGAGATTCAAAGAATATGGTTTACAAATTGACAAAATCCATTTATGGACTAAAACAAGCATTTCGTCAATGGTACTATAAATTTCATCAAGTAATTCTCTCATTTGGCTTCGAGATGAATATTGTTGATGATTGTGTATATCACAAGTTTAAGGGGAGTAAGTATATTTTCTTGATCTTGTATGTTGATGACATTCTACTTGCCACTAATGATATAGGCATATTGCACGAAACCAAGAAATTTTTATCAAAGAATTTCGAAATGAAAAATCTTGGTGATGCGTCTTTTGTATTAGGAATTCAGATACACCGAGATCGATGTCGGGGTATTTTAGGATTATCACAAAGGAGCTATATCGAAAAAATTCTTAAAAGGTTTGACATGCATGAATGTAAATCCGGGGATACTCCAGTTGCTAAGGGAGACAAGTTTAGTCTCAATCAGTGCCCAATGGAAATTGAGGAAATGCAAAAGATTCCCTATGCATCAGCTATAGGGAGTTTGATGTATGCCCAAGTATGTACGCGTCCAGACATAGTATACATAGTTGGGGTTCTAGGCAGATATTTAAACAATCCAGGAATGAACCATTGGAAAGCAACAAAAAGGGTCATGAGATATTTAAAGAGAACAAAAGATTACATGCTCACATACAGGAGGTCAGACCAGTTGGAGATCGCTGGGTTTTCTGACTCAGACTTTGTAGGATGTCAAGATAGTTTGAAATCTACTTCAGGTTACATTTTCATGTTAGCAGGTGGTGCGGTTTCTTGGCGCAGTGTCAAGCAAACCCTTATAGTTTCATCCACTATGGCAGCAGAATTTGTAGCATGCTATGAGGCGTCAAATCATGGAATATGGTTGAGAAATTTTGTCACAGGTCTGCAAATTGTGAAAGGCATTGAAAGACCACTTAAGTTATATTGTGACAACAAATCAACTGTATTGTATTCCAACAACAACAGAAGTTCGACTAAGTCAAAGCACATCGACATTAAGTTCCTAGTTGTTAAGGAAAGAGTACAGAGTGGACAGATTTCCATAGAACATTTAGGGACAAACTCCATGATAGCAGATCCTCTAACTAAAGAACTTCCGCCCAAGGTCTTTCATGAGCATGTTGCTCACATGGGTGTTTTATAGTTTGAGGAATTTGTGGTTTAGTGGGAGTTAGTCATTTTCATATATTTTATGTTTTATGTTTAATTTCATGTATGTATACATTAATTTTTGGACATATTTGGTTATCTATAGATATGCGGTTTTTCGTTCATTCATTACACTTTGTACATTAAGGTTATTATATCGATCTCGATAAGTTAAAGTTTGGACCAGTTGAAAATAGACGTGTACAGATCACCTTCACGTAATTTTTCATGTTACACATTTCATGATGAATCCATGTCATTTGGTTATGTCAGGATGAGTAATCATTGTTGGTTTTAGTTGCGAATATGCAATGAAAAGCTGGTTTGGTTCTATATCCTGATATGATCAATGGATGGGACTTTTGCAGTATGCTAAAGGAATATAATGGCAATTTTGAGCTCATAAAGTCTAACACATTTGTAAGATTGTAAGGACATATATATTTGTGACCAGTGGGAGATTGTTGACAAATATTGAGTCATGTATATATGTGATACATAATTTAAATGTGTTAGAGCCATTACTTATTAAGCCAAATAATAAAGTGATCTGACTAAATTAAAATGTTTGGTTAAAGGCATATGTCATGAAAATAAAATTGTGTAGAGACTATAGAGCAATTTCTAATTTGATGAGGGGTCAAATTGGAAATACTAAAATTTAAGTAATTAACCTAATTTTGGTTATTTAATGGGTCATGGTCTCCTTCTGGGAGCACACCCATTCCTTTCTTTCTATCCCCATCAAGAGAGAAAATCCAGAAGGAAATATAGATATTCTTCAGGTAGAAGACCATAAGATCAATATAGTGTTCTACAAAAATATCATCATTATAGTTAATTCAGATACGCTTTCGCATTCAGCTAAAACATGTTTATCGGAATGAAATTATATTTATGTTTGATCTTTAAAATCAAAATCAAATTATAATTATTATTAGTTTTCATCCAACCATTCCACCATTAAAAAATACATTTAACGTTAAAAATTGAAAAAGGTAGTTTCTAAATCACTGCGCGTAAATCTCCTTCACTGCTAACTTTGCCACAGGGCTCGTTTTATCATGCATTCTCAGAGTTTGAATGTTTCAGTGTGTCAACAAGTGTGATTGATTTGTTCAGATTATAGCATTGTCGGTGACTCTCACAACCTTTCTTGGCACGTGCGTATCACAAATGGCTAAAAAAGGGATTAGGGGTTATAGGGTGAAGAAGGATAGTTGGAAAAAATGGAAGTTGCAATTTTTAGATGGAAGGTCGGTGGAGAAAGGTAGCTACAAAATGTAGGATGGGAGTGCCACAAAACAACAATTGGAATTATGAGATTCTGTGACAGTAGAATTGTAAGAAAAAAAAAACGAAGACAATTGTTTATATTAATAAAATAATAATATTTACTATTTTATTAATATTTTCAGTTATTTGACCTAAAATCGATAAAATTGGTTAATTTTTTTTTAATGTTTTTTATTTTAAAATATAACGGCTAATGTTCAAATTACCTTGACTAAATGAAAAAGTTTCATTTTTAGTTCTTTAATTTATTTATTTTTTTCTTAAAAAATTATGCAGAAATTAGTTTTTTATAATATAATTTTTTTAATTATTTTTTTTAGAAATTAGTTATAAAAAATGAGTACAGTGAGTATTGCTGCTTATATGAGAAATGGATAAACTATCACTTATGATTAATAAATGAACTATGTAATAATTTTTATTTTTAAAATTTTTAATTAAATTTTTAATATTGACGGAAAAATGGACGAAAAATTTATTTACTTGAATAACAAAAATGATTGGCTAAAAAAGGAGGTGCAAAAAATTGTATTCTTTATATATTCACACAAGGGATCATAAATTTTATTTTCTATGAGGAATTAAATTAATTTAGTAAGAAAATTTGCAATTTCGATGAAAACCCGTATTTTTCTAAAGACTGATTTCGAGATTTTTTTGTTTTGAAAAAAAAAAAAACTAATTGTGTGAAATGAAATGGAGGATTGAAAACACATTTAAACCAAATTTATTTATTGTTTGCATAAAAAAGTTTTACACCAAAAGTTTTTACAAAATGACTGCTTGTTCTTGTTTTCTTCTTTCGGTTATACCCACTATATGCCTTCAGCATGATATTAAACACCCTTCAAAAGAATAAAAATTACAAGTCAGTAGAAGTAGTTGTTGAGATGGCCTATTCAATCACAATCGTACTGCAATAGTAATGGTTAATGGTGAAACTCCGGTCAAACACCAAGAAAAATAGGTTAGAAAATTCCAGCTATAGCAGTTTCCAAATCTAACGGCAATCACAGTCCATAATTCAATTTTCTTTTGGAACAATGATGCGCTTAATTTTAAATCAATATTTGTAAACAGATAAAAGAATGCAAGGTAGCATCCTCCTAGAAAGATGAAATCAACAAAATGAGGCAATTCACTAAATTACAGGCAAACACCATGCAAATCTCAAATCGTCTCCGGTAACAGAAAGCACACGCATAGAATAAAAGGATCACAAAGCCCTACGATGATTTTCTAGAAACCAACTCCATGTTCTATTACAATATCCTAATGGTAAACTATCAAGAGAGAGACTAGCATTCTCTTATGCACACCACCAATTCCCAGCCAATACCTGTTTCACTTCATTGCAAAATGTAACTTTGTTAAGGTGAAAGGTAAAACCCCATACAATCTGCTAAGTGGTTAGATAACCTACCTATGCATCTTCACCTCCAGCAGCTCGGGCAGAATCCACCTTTTGTTCTTCTGTTAAAAAGGACATATTTAATTAACAACGGAATCATAGATACTGGAGTTGGGTTGGCAAGATCAGAGAATAAAGAAAAATAGCTAGAAAATAAAATGAGAAGGAATAATCATGTTTGAAACAACAGCAAAATTAATATAGTAGACAGTAAGTCAAAATCAAAATATGATGACTAATAGAAGAAATAAATTAGTGCAAATGAAGAATTGAAAAACAAATCTAAAGACTAGGGAAAACATAAAGTTTTAAGTTGTCTAAAGCAAGAATTTGGTAGATTGTGATCACACGAAAGATGACGAAATTATATTTGGAAGAGCTTTCTAAGGGATAACTTTTTTAACATTAGTTGGTTCCCTAAAGCATATCCACAGTAATATCTTGATCAGATTTCCCAAATCTTCCCCAGTTTATTTTCAACTTAACGTGTTACACTGTGAGGTACAGGCTTTTCTTCTATACTTTGGCATTTTAATAAACACAGGATTTGTCAATTATTTGCAATGGGGGAAAGATGACTTTTCATGGAACAAATCAAGATTCAATCCTGTACACGTTATTACCATCTCATGCTTTCAACTCGTTTTGAGACACACAACTAAGTAAGATTCAATATCTACTCAGCCGAACAATGTAGTGCATCAATAATAACAGCTATAGAGGACCACTAGAAACTTGAGTGGCATAAATTTCACTACAAATAAGCATAACATCAAATAAAACAAAGTCACAGTGGCCACAAACAAATGACCATATCAACATAAATCATGACAGTGTCTACTATACCTGAAATGGACTTTTTATCAAACTAAAAATAAAATAATTGGACAAGTCACACGGACACTCCTGAGGTTTCAAGAGATTATTAAACCCAATACCCCTTCCTCCCTCTTTAGAGATTACTATGTCCTCCCTCAATCTATATAACTACATAAAAGAATACGAGATGTGTTAATGGGAAGGGTATGTGGTGTTAGATTGTGATATGAGGGGTATCAATTGAACTTTTGTTAAACCTAATTTACCCTGAAAATTTTTATGTATTTAATTCACATAGCAGACAAAGTCCAGCTAACTAAATGACAGAGAAAATTGATTTCCATTAATGAGTACCTCCATCATCAGGGATGTCAGAAGTCCACAAGGTGAGGTTGTCCCTCAAAAGCTGCATAATTAGGGTGCTGTCTTTGTATGACTCCTCACTCAGAGTATCCAACTCAGAGATTGCTTCATCAAATGCCTGCTTAGCAAGGTGACAAGCCCTGAGATATAAAGAGTACAGTGTCAAATTTGTTAAACAGGCCAACTTAGGCACATTGTACACGAATAAAAAGGTAAGCCATTAAACAATAATACTTTCAGGAAAATAAATAAAAGTAATACCTTTCAGGAGAGTTCAAAATTTCATAATAAAAGACAGAGAAGTTCAAAGCCAGACCCAATCGGATAGGATGTGTGGGTGGTAACTCAGCCTCTGCAGTAGTGGAAGCCGTCTGAAATAATTATGAATTGTTCAGATCGACATGAAAAGGTGGAAAAATACTTTGGTAACTTAACAGCCAAATCTGTATCAATGATGCCTGCATCTAAATAAATGTCCTGCTAAAACTGATAATAGATCATGAGACAAATACATGGTACAATGATGTTATGTCTGAATATAAGCACTACCGTAGTGTATCCCCAATCCCTCATTAACAAGTATACAACCTTGATGATAAATAACCATTAGAATCACTTATTTAATATTCATATGGCCCATGATTATGGCTAACATATCATCTACAGGTTTAAGATAACATCAACATAACAAACATATTAACATTAGTGTTCAAAGAATTACGATCATATGATTTATATTACAAGAATAGATGGTTGACTTGACAATTAGCTTCCGGAATTTTTCTAAAAAGGACGATAATAGTTTTGCATTTTTTTCAGTGACCCTTTCCATCAGATTAGCACAAACAAATACCAATAAGTAAAGACTTGCAAGTTAAAAATGAAGGAATGCAAAAACAGAAAAGTCTGTCCTATCAGGCCTTGGTTAATGGAGACATGCTAAGAAGCAACCAACACATACATCATGAATAACCAGGCATCAAACATCAGGAACTGTTAAAATTTAAACCACAACAGATGCGAGAGGTCCAAATACAAGCATACCTGATAGGCTTTCATGGAATGATCAGCAGCCTCTTTTCTCTCATCACTGGACTTGAACTCTGCAAGATACCGGTAATAATCCCCCTTCCTGAAACCAACATCAGAGAAATCAACACACATGAAACTCTAAATAATCAGTGAGATAAAAATAACTACTCAGAACTCACATTTTGTAGAAAAAAACACTAGGTTCACCAGTAGTGCTAGAGGGGATAAGGTGTTCATCAATAACAGTCATGATATCACTGCAGATATTGGACAACTCAGACTCCACCTTCTGCCTATACTTCTTTATCCGCTTCACATTCACATCGTTCCCCTTCGCCTCTTCCTTCTGCTCGATCGATGAAAGAATCCTCCACGAAGCCCTACGAGCACCCACCACATTCTTGTACCCAACAGACAGAAGGTTCCTCTCCTCAACAGTCAGTTCCACGTTTAGCTTCGCCACATTCTTCATTGCATCCACCATTTCTACCAAACCAAACACTCTAAAACTCAAAATTCGTCTCCAAGATATTCAAATTAAAATCCACAACCAATTTAAACCAGAAAAATTGATTTTGAAATTAAACATCCAGGCCAAAACAATGGTGACTCTCAAATCTCAACACAGACAAATTGGAAGAAAAAAAAAATAAAAGAGACAGTGAAAGAAACTAGGAGAATGAATTATCACAGAGTACCTTCATAGCGTTCCGCCTGTTCGGCAAGCTTGGCAACATAGACGAAGTTTTCACGTTCCTTGGTGGAGGCCATGGAGGATCTGCAATCTGCAACTTTCTCTCTCCTCTCACTTTCTCGCTCTAGAAATTTGTGTGTCGGGAGTATTCGCAAGTTGATGAGAGAAGAAGGGTTTGTTGTGGAGAGACATGGCACGACGGCACGAGTTGGTCGTGGGCGAGGGGGCATCTCCACGCGCACGAGGAGAGTGCTGGTCACACATTCTGTTTTCGCTATGAGTCAAGGAGACAGTGATGACTACGGGAGAGAGTGGCGCGTGGGATTGGAGGGGAGGCAAATTGATTGGCGTTTGGTGGGCATTGAAATTTCAAATCCACCTTTTTTTTTTTTTTGTCTTTTGAAAATGAGGTGTTGTTTGTTCACACAGAAACATTACAAATTATATTATATTACTGTTTCATTCTTCACCCTTGGATATGACAAAATAATCTAACGGTCAAGATGGATGAATTTATTTCAACTTTCTACCTCGGTTACAATCACATATGTGAAAATTGCAAAATGGTACCTCTATCATCATAAATTAGGGTGTAGAGTTTGAAATGTAGATTGATTAAATACTTAAATACTTTATAGTTGAATTAGATTTGTGTATTTCTTTTTACTATATTCAAATTATATGGAGTCTATTAATGACAGTGAAATTTATTTAGTGTTATCAACTCCAAATACATAAATGTCATTTTAAATTTTTAAAAATTATAAATAATTATGAAATATATAAAAAAATTAATAATTAAAAAAACAAACTTTACATATTTATTGGATTATTAGTTTTAAAAAATTAAATTAAAAACAAAATTTCTAGACTGTTTCAATTTATAAATGTGAACAAATACATGTGATTATGTTATCTTTCATATACTACTCATATTTATTCTAGTACAGAGATATTTATAATGAAAAGTGTTTGCTCAATTGATGAAATTCTTAATATTGTTATAAAAGTTGAAGTTAACATGTATATAAATAAATTTTATTTTTCATACATGTATAATCATTGCTCTTAAGAATTTATTCATGGTGAAGTATATTGCGCAAGCACAAGTCCCATTACATAAAAAAATTTCTCAAAAAGTTATGAGATTTCAAAAACTAACCATCTCAAAAACTAATCATCTCAAAAAAAGTAAATAAACTTAAGATAAAAAAACTCTTAAAAAAAGTAAACAAAAAACTCTTAAAAAAATAAATAAATTTATGAAAAAAAACTCTTAAAAAAATAAATAAACTTAACATAAAAAAAACTCTTAAAAAAATAAACAAACTTAAGATAAATAAACTTTTAAAGAAGTAAATAAATCCAAAATAAATAAACTTAAAAATAAGTAAATAAATATAGAATAAATAAACTCTTAAAAAAAAGTAAATAAATATATAATAATAATAATAATAGAATAAGAAGAAAAATAAAAAAAATAATAATAGAATAAAAAAATAAACAAAAAATAAAAAATAAAAAAAGATGTATTTTTAAAAAAATATGAAATAATATTTATTTATAAATATAGATTAAACCAAAAATCCTAACTAATCAACAGTCAAGAAATCCACCAATAACTAGCTGACATCGATACTAACAACTAAGTCACATCGATACTTAAAAAAACAAGCAGAAAAAACTGCAGCGTTAGTAAAAGATTTGATAATAAATATGCAACTTTCTATAACGTTCTCTCTGCGACGTGTACTGTTTATAATGAACTCACTAGTATTTTTTTACATATAAAAACACATGTATAATAAAATAATTATAATGAATATTTTACACGAGATAGTATAAAATATTTTAATTTGTTTAACTTAAACCAACTTAAATATCTTAGTTTAAATTTTGTTCATGGATAATTATATATAATTTTAAAATATTTAATTATGACATAACTTAGATACTTGACTAATTAACATAACATAATAATAATATTATTATTACTTATATATTTTATTTATTTATTTATAATTTTTAATAGTTTAGAAAATTTGAAAACAACCTCTAATCTTGTGTGGGTTGTCAATCTGATCCAAATAAATTTATAATTGAACATATTAATTCAGTTTAGATTTGATAGAAAACAAAATTGCACAAATTCAAACACCTGGAGTATTTTGATTTATTTTGATATAATAAATAATATAGTAAAGTTTAACTCAGATTCATAGGATGACTTTTAGGTGGTTTGGCTTTGGTAGGCGCAATATTATTTTAAGGTGGGATAATATTTTAAGGAAGGATATTATGTTGGATTTTCCTTTTAGGTTTTCACTTTTGTTGAGTCACATAGTTTTAAAATTAATTATTCGCGTAATATTTAATGGAGATGATTATGTAATTCTACAATGTTGATATTAAAGATGCTAACATGGAACTAAAATATTGACACGAGGTTAGTACTACTTTTTTATAGTTCATTTTTCGGTTTTTATATTTTTATTGTTAATGTGTAAACTTGACTTTGAATCGATACCCCTAATAAAACTACTATATAACACAGTACATTTAGAATAAACATAACGAATTATTAAAATAAAATAAAGTTATGAAACAAGCTTAATAAAGCAAACAAACTAGTCTTATATTTTTTTTATAAGAGACAAATTAAAAATATTTTTAATATTAACTTATAATATTTCTATACCTAATATTATTTGCAAAAATTTCAAGTATTGTTTCAAAATTAAAAAAAAACATTTCAGTTGAATAATTAATTAGTGTATCAAATTTAAATATTTAATACAATAATTAACATATCAATTTAATATACTAATCAGTATATACTAATTAAATTTGAAGTAGTTTAACATACATTTAAAATAATTTGTGTGCAATACTAACATACCTGAGTAATATGATAAACTATTTAATAATTTTGTACAAAAAAAAAATGAAAACTTAATGACCAAATTATAAAGATTATTTTTGTGTTTGATAAAATGACAATATCAGTTTTATAATAATTTAAATTAACATTTTTTCCTTAATTATATATTTAAGAACTCTGCCTATAGTAACTAAAAAACTACAATGATCATATTTAATACCACGGACCTGTGTATATTATCGATAAAAGTATATATGTTACAAATTGAGTGAGTGAATTCCCATGCACAAAGGTTGTTTTGAATGAATGTTATGTAACACAAATATATTTGATAAAGTTTTCCACTTAACAAAGGCACAACCTTTTTTTAATCATCCAATTACAATTGTAGGGATTTTGGAGAATTTGTAAGAAACTTTGTCATGCTGCTACCGAGATAAGTCCGAATTAGCAGCATCAACAGGCCAAACAACATGAACATGGAACATCTGCCAATAACAAAATGAAAAAAAAAATGTTAGATACTATCCAAATTTGAAAAACAGTTTCAAGAATGGAACGGACAATTTTATTATTAATTTATTATCATTTGTCACATACAAACATTACCAAGCACGCAGCAGACTAGAGAGACCACAGATTGCTATTACTTCCCCAAAGCCATTTGATCAAACAAAATAGCCTTCATTTTTCCTTTGCCTTGAACAATGTATTAGAAAGTTGAGACTGTAACACAAAAGTGGGTGTCAGTTTCTGGCAAGTACACTATTATTGTTTTAAACAAGATACCAGATAATCATGATGCTCGTTTAGGTCAGTTTAAGTTACAAACCTCACATCCAACGTGTGGTTGAAACCCTCATATCCTCTTCATATTTTTGAACCAAAAAGGTTATTTCTATAAAAAATCTCTTCCCCCTCATCCATTCCCTTCCAACCAAAAACTGTTCTAATAAAAAGCGGATATTTAAGTTAAAGTTGAAATCAGAGACAATTAAAACACCCCAAGTGCAAGACATACAGCTTAAGAGGCACCAGCCTAACTTAATCATGTCAATGACAAGTTTAAGTTGTACCACATAATAAGAACAAAATAATTCATGTAAATAACTCCCCAATATGAAGAAGCTCAAATGGTCAAATGTGTACTCATCTTACAAATGCCAATAATAATCCATGATGCCAGTCATGTTACAACAAACCATATTGTTTTCATTGGTATGATATTGTATCTTTCTATTAAGTTGCATGATAATCGCTGTTGAGTAAGTAGCAACTGTATGCATATGATCATATGCTAGTGATAAAATATTGTAATTATATTAATGACCAACTACTATAATAAAAGAATTTTTTTCAGTTGGCATTGTGCAGAGTTAGACATGTCCGAGGTGAAGTGAAATCACATACACTAGTTACAAGCTAGCGGACAAAATTGATGATGCTTCTTGCTGTTTTAAGCTGTCAGCCACATGAGCAATTACTCCTACACCAGCATTGTGAAGCCATTCATTTTTCACCTGAAATCAGACAAGCGCACTCATGTTACAAACTCTATCAATGATATACCATCATCGTCCGACAGATTAAATTGATGCAGTACATGAATGTTGTTATGAGCAAAGAAAGGCCAGAATGCTGAGTGAAAGCTGACATCAACTTTTTTCCATCCCAACAGCTGTAATCCCCGAATCATCTCATCTGTTAAAAAGATTAGTGGCTTTAGAAGAAACATCAATAACTGAAGACAATTGATACATCTTCAGTTATCCTGGGAAATAATGAACACCTTCAACAATTTCATGATATTCCACAGTATTCTGTGTATTGGGAACATTTTGTGCGGCCTCCTTTGCTTTCACTGCTTTAGGAGGAAATTTAGGGCCATCAGAAGGAACTGGGGGACAATATTCCACATCAACCACGTGCTTGTACCCATCTAAAGATTGTCGAGGAGGCTGCCAATACAATAGAAAATGTTAATACCATAGAAACAGAATCAAATTCTTTCACAATTCAAGCGTTTCCCTTTTCTTATATTCAACAATTACAACTCCAAGTTTTCAAAATAGAACCTGCACAATAAAAAAAAGGATTGCAGCATTTTCCCCTATACCCAACATCTATCTATAGTTTCTTTTCCATGTTTGCAACACTAAAGCTAACACTAACTAACTAGGATGCCAGAATTAACACCACTTGCAACATGTTAGCTGCAGTATATTGATCTATTTGATCCATTAATTTTATTCTTTTCAAAGCGATTTAAATATAGACATTCAAGAATACCAGTGTTTCATCAATTAACTAATACAGATACAACTAAGAACCTCTGCTACATCCCCATTTATGGATACATGCTTTCATTTTTTGCTGACACGCTGTGACTCTGCCGTGATAGGGAATTCCAACTGGAATTCCTAATTAAGAAATTATGAAGTGAACTTAGTTAACACAGTGCAAAGTATAAAACCACCCTGATAATTGAAAATATGAAGAACTGAAGATCTCAATCAACAGTCAAACTAGTCAAGTTCTTCAAGTGAATTATTACACAAGTATTTTTCAAAGAATTGTAAAATGAAAAAGGTAAATTTTGATCGGACACTTAATTCGGTTCAGTCAAATTTTACATATTTATTTATTTTTCCACAATGGGCCACTTAAACTTTGCCGTGGTAGTTTAAAGTTCACTTTTAAGCCATTTTTCTGTTGTTGAAATCTAATACATTGATGATGAAATCTAATAAATTATCATTATTAAGTGTTGTTAATATTATTATTATTGGCAGGAGAGGGGAAAAGAAATTGGATGCTCCAACAGTTCTAGCACACAAAGTAGTCAAATAATAATCTCCTTAATACTTCTATAGTTGTATTATTTTCATTACTTGATATTATTTATAGTGACAAACAAAATTTTATCGTATTCACATTGGCTATTGTAGAATTTAGATTACAACTTACCATTTAAGTGATAAATCTAAGAGTTAAGAAAACTAAACAGATTACAAATGCCAGACATACACACAGTTAGGATGTTATGTATAATTCTAAGCATCCAACCAGATTCTAATTTAGTTGAAATCTAAGAATTAATTATTAATATTTAAACTTATGAATGTTAACATTGGAGATCAGTAACCAACAAAATAAGACAATTGAAAAGGAGATATCATCAATATTAACCTTACTGAGCTCAGTTTCCCTCCTTATAGAGGAAGTGCGCCACCCAACCATATCTAAATAAAGATGAAGAAATTACCAAATTTAAGGAGAAAAGAACCATAAGTTATTGACATGCCTAGAAGTTTGTAAAACAGAAAAAAAAAATACTAAGAGGATACGATCATATGAAACATTAGCATAAATGATGCGACATCTAAATGCTCCAAGTGCAGATCTACATAAATACAAAATTTAGTATTAGATTACTTGATTGAAAAACAGGAATATAAACTAGTACAAATAGATTCCTTTACTTACAGAAACTTTCCATCATCACAATCAGAAGCCATTCTCAATAGAAGAGGCGGTTTATCAGGTTTACCATCAGTAAGGAACAACTGACTACCTGTCTGACCAACAAAAAAGGGAGCTATAGGAGCAGCAAGTTTCTCTAGAATTGGTACACCCAACAGAAATGGTAGCTGGAAAATATGCACAGTAAACAGTTAAAACTCCTATGATGAAAATTTCCAGTACAAATTGAGAAACACGGCAAGCATCGACAAGACAAATAAACACATGGTTGGAAGAAGGATGGTTTGGATATTAAATTCATTAACACTTTCGTTCATTTGACTTAAAAGTCCTGTTTATTAGCATTATTTTCTAATAATCTTTTCCATGATTGTAATATAAAAGTTTCTCCAGTAAAATTGAAATTTTATTAGGGCCTGTTCATGGATAATGCAAATCCTATTCTAGTATTCAGTCCATCAGAACTTCTATTGAGAAAAAAAGAAGCTATTAAAATCTCTCCTCTTTCAATTTTTTTCTATTTAAAACATTTCTTCAAAAAATGCATGTCTATATAAAAATAAAATCTCAAAATATAAATACAAGCATGCATAATATTATGTAAGAACTATGTACCAGAAGCTATTTCATTAAAGAGAATAGTTAAGTCAAATCTCAGCTAAGATACAATAGAATGGACAACAAAGAAAGTTATTTGATGGCTAAAAACGTGAGTCAAATCATTTAGAAAACAATGTAGTTGTGGTGTCTTGAATATCAATGCTTGATGATCAAAACTATTCACTAGATAAAATAATGAAAATAAACATAATGAAAAGAGATGCATAGAATGAAAACAGAAACACTTACAAGAGTAATTTTTTTAATGTACTTGTTAACAAGAAAATTATATCAATAATTAAAATCCCTCCAAATAAATTAGTTTCGTTCACTTATGTTTCAATAAATTTTTTACAATACTTAGATGAATAGAAAATGGTACTGCAGCAAAAGGGTGGCTTAATTAAATTCCACCTTCAAAATACAAAAGCCGATACGGAATATTCAATGGTACAAATTAAAATATTCTTGAGTATTTTGGTGAGAATAGGCCCGTCCCAACTTAACTTTTAGGGATGAGTCAGACTTAAATTCAAATTCGAAGACAGAATAAAAAAACCCATCTTAACTATTGTTGTGGGCCTTTTAACCAACCACATATGTTTCTAATCTTGCAACTTTCACATTCGGAATGCTCACTCTTTGGCATTAAAAGTGGAAGTCTCACGTTAACTAGTGATATAGCATAAATAGTGTATATGTGGAAGGAAACTCAAACCTCATGAGTTAACTTTTGGGATTGAATTAGGTTCAACCGAAATTGGAAAATTCTAAGAATGAGAAAGCCACTCATGTTGTCCACTCACCTTGTTCTGTCACCATTGCTTCTTGCTACGTGTTTGGCATCCAAAGAGACTAGATTTTCTTCTCTACAAGCAATAGAAGCAAAAGCTTGGGCTTTTTCTTACAAGGGTATTATTAAATTTTGCATCTTAGTGAAATTCATTTTGCTTTAGTGACTAAAGTTACAACTAATGCATCAAGCTCAGATGCAAAGAAGGGATTCTAATAAATCTTCCCATCAGTTGACTCTCTTCTTTTCGCTTATTTATGTGTACCATACCATGGCTGTTCAATTGGTTGCATTGCATTCAACAACATGGGATGATAGCTTTGAGGGGCAGAAAGGTGAAAGGTGTCTGACCTTGTGTTTTGCAATACATAGTTTAACCTAGTTTCTCCCAAATGTGCTTTGGCCTAATGGGAATCTCAGTGAATCATTCTTCACCCCACAATAGTTCTACAGGTTCAGCTTGATAGTCCTAGATACTTTCCTGGCCCTATTGGTTAGGCCCTAGCTTTGGTCTCAATTGCAATCTGACCTGAATCTCTCTTTATGAGTTTCCTCAGTAGTCTTTTTTGGCAGAGCCCATAACATTGGAATATAAAAAAGGAACTTATTTCAATCTAGTCTAAACCTTAATAAGCTTTATCTTTAGGAAGAGCATTAGTTAACAACATTCTTCCTTATATCATCATGATTTGTTCACCTAATAAGCTATGATTAATGTACCATAAACAAGAGTTAGTGCTTTAAGTTTTATGAAAACAAATCAAAACATTGTAATATGAATATCTTAATACTTAAAAGCGATTCAGTGTTTCATTTTCTTTTATCTCTCTTCCTCCCTCTATCACTAAACTCATAACTTCAACATAGGGAGTACCAAGAGAATTTCAAGTTTTCAAAAAGTAAAACAACACAAATCCTTTTTATAGATGTTTCAAATAGAAGTCAATATATAGCAAAAAGAAAACACATCACATAAATTTGTATTGTCCTCAGCAAACCTGCTTCTTTCCTCTTACACCAAGATGTGGAGTTGCTAAAGTTATAAAATTGATTGGCTCCAACCCAGCAATTAACCCTCCTCTGGAAAAACTTGTTCCCGGGGAATATTCTGTCATGCTGTTTACTAGATCACTTATTTGGTCTCTGCTATCAGTATCAGGTGAATACAGAACAGCAATTGCATATCTAGCAAACAAGCCTCCCAAAGAATGGGATAGAAAGGAGATTCTTTTCAGACTCTTTGTCTTTTTAACAACTTGCAAGACCTGTTTTCGTCAAAAAGGCAATAATCATTCAGCATGAAACAATTCAGGAGAAAATAAAAGCTATCAGAACTTAAATTGTATAAATTTGCATATCCAAAGACTCACTTCTTCAGCTAATCGCTTTCCAGCTCCATCAATCCCAGTGAATGTCTTAGTGTAAGTATTTGATGAACTAACTGCAACAAAAATAATTGTTAAGAACTTCTGCTAAACAAATACATGTTTGTGTGAGTGAGAATTATTATAATCAGAGAAACAATTTTACATTCATGGATGAGGCAATCATCCAATACCCAAGAAAATCTTCACAACATTATAAAACAAAAGCTTACTTATTTGCAAATTATACAAATAGATTTTTCCCAGCATTAGTTAGAAAGAATGTGAATATAACAGTTCAGGCTGTTCAGCACAAGTGTGAGAGATTATTTTTTGCAAATCTACTCAAATTGTACAGTTTATCATGCTCAAGTTGGCTAAGAAATCTAAGTGAGTTGCCTCCAATGAAGATCATTAATTCAAAATTGTTCTCATGCTTTGACCAATTTCATTTTTGTGCATATACACACAAACTGTCCATCATATAATCATATTCAAATAAAAATATGAGATATTTGAGTAATTTCTTAACAAAACATCCCAAAAGTAATATTGAATTTAAAGAAACTAAGAACACTCTGTTCAATGATCAAGCCTAACATAATGGGAAAAAAAGCTCTTCTAGCTTGTATATAAAATACACAAATAAGGGTGTGTCCACCATTAATTTAATTTCAACTGCATCACAATCTTCACACAAAACTAATTTGAACTACTTTAACCCACTAAAATTTAAAAGGATACACCCTTGTAAACTTGACAAATAAGCTCAATTTACAGAACTAAAGGAGCACCATGAAATATATCACTGAGAACCACAAGTTAAAAAAGGTGCACAAACCATAAATTAAATAGTTTTTTCCAAGGCGCCTTTTCAACTCTGCTTCTGCATAAGTCCAGTCCCCTGTGCTGTATTAATAAAAACATGAGTACAACTTTGTATAAGATCAAACAAAAGAGCAACATCCAAATGACCAGCATACAGAAGTGTCCATCGACCCAAATTCTGTAGTGAAAACTGTCAACGGAATTAGTTAAATCCCTGATTTATTTCTTCCTTATTGATTCCCTATAATTTCTTAGAACCTTGTCTTTGGCTTGTAGTACTTCACAGTGAGGTGTGGCAAAAGAGATTGATTGTCTATTAATTGTGTTTCATGCAAACTTGGGAAAAGTAATATTTTACCTTCCCCTTTAGTCATGCTACCAAATGTTTTGATATAGGTCTTACTGATATATGGGGTATTTCATTAGTTGATTCTCATGGTAACTAAAAGTATTTTGTGACATTTATTCATTCTATAGTTTACATACATATGGGTTATTTGTTGAACATACAAGGACATGATGGTGAACTTACATGGACATGAAGCTTGTTGATTTTGATGATGATTCAAGAACAAAGAACTTAGAGTGTTGAAGACTTGTATTGTTGTGTAATAACTCTGTTTTGATGAGTTTAAGTCTGTAATATTAGAGTCTAAGATAACCGGTACATAGTCTACTCTTTAGAAGCTTCAAAAACTCATATTTATCAAAAAGCCTCGGGTTTAATCGATTAAATGATCAGACAATCGATTATTACAGTGAGAAAAACAATTTTCTGTATCTGTTCACTGTAATAATCGATTAACTTACCTGTTAATCGATTAATAGGCCAGTTAATCGATTAACAGGGCACTTAATCGATTAAAACAGTGAGTTTTGGGGTTCTGTTGATTTTGGCTCTGTAATAATCGATTAACACTTCATTTAATCGATTATTTCAGTCAAATTTGGATTTTGAACTTCAAATTAAACCTATTTTCGAAAACCCTAATCCCAATACTCCAAGTTCTGAAAATCCCCAATTCTCAAACCCTATTTCATCTACTTAAGGTTCTGTAAGACTCTCAGAAAATGAGAACAACCTTTTTCAAACTAAAGTTAAGTGCTGTGAGTGCCAGAGAACTGTTTGTTGGAGGAAAAAGGGGTTTTTGGAACCTGGTGTGGGCTAGAAGCGATAAGAATCACTAAGTGGAGTTCTTAGTGGATTGTGTGCTGTGCCGTCTCTAGGGAAAACTGTTATTCATTTCTTGTGGATTTCAAGAGAGGTGTTTTCTTTACTTTATCTTTTCAATTGTTATCTGTTTGTAACAACTTTGATTATAGTGACAGCGTTAATCCTCTCTTTGAGTGATTAGCAACTGGACGTAGGGTCTTTTGAACCGAACCAGTATAAATCTCCTGTGTAAGACTCTATCTCTATTCTATTTACGTTTACACAGTATTTTAATCGGTAAAATTTGGGGAAAAATTTTAAAACCTAATTTTTTTTTAGAAACCAATTCACCCTCCCTCTTGATTTTTGTCCGACAATGCGAACATTCCGCTGCGCGATTCTAACAAGTGGTATCAGAGCTTGCTTTGATAGTCATTCAAACTTTTCGAAAATGGCCGGACAAAATCAAACTTTTGCCGAAGGTGCGTCTATCAACAAACCCTCACTTTTTGCGGGTCAAAATTATCCTTTCTGGAAAGTAAGAATGCAAATATTTTTAGAGTCTGTTGATAGAGGCGTTTGGGACGCTATTTTAAACTGTCCCTATATTCCTAAAGTTACTGAGAATGGTATAAACGTTCCTAAACCTTTTTCTAGATGGACAACAAAGGAAAATAGAAAAGCACAATTTGACGTCAGGGCTAGAAATATTATTTCATCTGCTTTAACTCTTGACGAGTTTTACAGGATCTCTGTTTTGTAAAAGTGCTCAGGAGATGTGGGTAATGCTAAGAGTGACCCACGAAGGTACCGATGACGTTAAGAGAGCACGGAAAAATTCCCTAATCCAAGAATACGAAATGTTCCGGATGCAACAAGACGAAACGATATTTGACGTTCAAAAGCGTTTCACTCATATTGTGAACCATCTCACCGGATTAGGTAAAATCTTTGATGTTGATGAATTGAATGTTAAAATTTTAAAATCTTTGTATAGAAAATGGCAACCTAAGGTGACGGCCATCTCGGAGTCACAAAACCTTGCCACAATGTCTATGGCGGCGCTCTTTGGAAAGCTAAGAGAGTATGAGCTTGAGCTTGGAAGGCTAAACGATGAAGAAGGACAATATCAAAAGAAGAACTTAGCCTTCAAAACCGAAATTTCCAAAGGTAAGAATAAAAAGGAAGAAGAAGACTCGGAAAATGAAGAAGAAGAATTGAGTCTTATGATAAAGAAGTTTACAAAATTCATGAAAGCCAAAGGAAGACATCCCTTCAAAGGTAAAGGAAAGGTAAGGGAAAATTCTTCTATAAATATCAAATGTTATGGTTGTGGTGAAGCAGGACATATGAAGACCGAATGTCCAAACAAGAAAAACGAAGAAATCAAAGGCAAAAAGTTCTTCAAGAAGAAAGCCTACATTGCTTGGGACAACAGTGATTCAAGTTCGGATTCAAGTGACTCGGAAGTTGAAGCCAATATTTGCTTAATAGCAAATGACAACATATCTTCCGACTTTGAGGTAAGTGATTCCGACTCATCCTCAAGTGATGATGAAAATAACTATGATGAACTGCAAAATGCATACAATGAATTGTTTAGTGCCTTTAAGGACTTGAAAAATGAATATAAAGCTGTGAAAAAGAGTTTAAGTAGATCCGAAAAGGAGGTTGACTCATTAAAAACGAAAATCACATGCTTAGAGGAAAAGAAAACCTTAGAAACAAAAATTGTATGTTTAGATGAGAATGATGCTAAGAACTTAGCATGTGCATCTTGTAAAGAGTATGAATATGACATAAATATCCTTAACCATTTGCTAGATAAAGCCGAAAAGGAGATAAGTGACTTTAAGAAGGATAAAATTGTTTTAGCTCAAAATAGTGTAAATCATCAAGTTCCTTTGAAAAAGCCTAAAAAGAAAAATAAAAGAGTATGGGTAGAAAAAGGAACTAGAGCATCTATTGTTAGAAATACATCTTATTCTAAAGCTACATCTAAAACATGTTTTTATTGTATGAAACAAGGTCACACTTCAAATAGATGTAAAATAAAACATTTTGGTGTTCCTAAAGGAAAATACATTTGGGTTCCTATTGTTAAATAATTTGTTTGTCTCTAACCCCAAGGACCCAAAAGTTATGGGGACCTAAGTTTACTATGTTCTTGTTTTGTAGGAAACTTCCAAATCAAAGAAGTCAATGTGGTATCTTGATAGCGGATGCTCAAAGCATATGACCGGTGATAAAACGAAATTTGTGAGTTTCAAAGCTAAAGAATAAGGATATGTAACTTATGGCGACAACAACAAAGGGAAAATTCTTGGAATTGGAAATATAGGTGGTGCGAACACATTGGAGATTAAAGATGTGCTTTTTGTTGATGGACTAAAGCATAATCTCCTTAGCATAAGTCAACTATGTGACCAAGGATTTAAGGTAATCTTTGAAAGTAAATTTTGCACCATGCATTTGATAGATTCCGAAAATATAGAATTAAAAGGTATTAGGCATAATAACATATACTTGATTAATTTGGATTGTTTACATGATTCTAGTATAACATGTTTAGTTGCTAAGGAAGAGAACCCTTGGTTATAGCATAAGAGAGCAACTCATAAATATGCATTATTTGAATAAATTGATATCAAAAGACTTAGTTGTTGGCTTGCCTAAGTTAAAGTTTGAAAAAGATAGGTTATGTGATGCATGTCAAAAAGGTAAACAAGTAAAATCATCATTTAAATCAAAGAATGTTATTTCCACTTCAAAACCCCTAGAATTATTACATTTAGACTTATTTGGTCCTTCTAGGATAAAAAGCTTTGGTGGAAATTATTATGGTCTTGTGATTGTTGATGATTATTCTAGATATACTTGGACATTTTTCTTAACAATGAAAAGTGAAGCTTTTAAGGTCTTTAGAAAGTTTGCAAAGCAAATTCAAAATGAGAAAGACTTAAGAATTAAAGTTTTAAGAAGTGACCATGGTGGTGAGTTTCAAAATGAAAAATTTGAAAATTATTGTGAGAAAAATGGAATATTACATAATTTTTCTGCTCCTAGGACTCCCCAACAAAATGGTGTAATTGAAAGGAAAAATAGGTCACTAAAGGAACTTGCTAGAACAATGTTAAATGAATCAAATGTTCCTAAATATTTTTGGGTTGATGTGGTTAGTACTGCATATTATGTTTTGAATAGAATGCTCATTAGGTCAATTATAAAATCAACTCCCTATGAATTATTAAATGGTAGAAAGCCTAATGTTGCTCATTTGAAAATATTTGGATGTAAGTGCTTTGTGTTAAATAATGGAAAGGACAACTTAGGAAAATTTGACTCAAAAGCCGATGAGGGCATTTTCTTAGGTTATTCATTAACTAGCAAGGCTTACAGGGTGTTTAATAGAAGAACCTTAAATATTGAAGAATCTATTCATGTTACTTTTGATGAAATTGTAGACCTTGGGGGAAATCCTCTTGAGTCAAATAAAGAACTTGCAGGTGATGATGAGTATATAAGAGAGACTCTTAATGAATTGTATTTGGAAGAAAATGAGCCTTCTCAAACACCTGAATTAGCAAAAGAATGACAATCACCAAGAGGACTCTCAATGGACAATATCATTGGTGATATCTCAAAAGGGGTAAGAACTAGAAATATGACTAATTTCTGCATGTCTATAGCTTTTGTGTCACAGATAGAACCCAAAAATGTTGAGGAAGCACTTAAAGATGACTAATGGTGCATAGCTATGCAAGAGGAACTTAACCAATTTGAAAGGAATCAAGTCTGTGAATTAATCCCAAGAGAAGAATCACATCAAGTAATTGAAACTAAATGGGTATTTAGAAATAAACTTGATGAAGATGGAAACATAACAAAGAATAAAACTAGACTTGTTGCCAAAGGCTACTGTCAGGAGGAAGGTATTGATTATGATGAAACTTATGCTCCTATTGCTAGGTTAGAGGCTATACGCCTACTTCTTGCTTATGCATCTTTGATGAAATTTAAATTATATCAAATGGATGTTAAGAGTGCATTTTTGAATGATTTTATTAAAGAAAAAGTATATGTGGAGCAACCCCCTGGATTTGAAGATTTTAGTTATCCTAATCATATTTTTAAATTAAAGAAAGCATTATATGGGTTGAAACAAGCTCCTAGGTCTTGGTATGAAAGACTAAGTAGTTTTCTAACTTCAAATGATTTTTCTACTGGAAAAATTGATTCTACTTTGTTTATAAAGAAAGTAAAAGAACATATCTTATTGGTCCAGGTATATGTTGATATTATTTTTGGATCAACTGATAATTCTTTGTGTGTAAAATTTGCTAAGATAATGCAGGGAGAGTTTGAAATGTCTATGATGGGGGAATTAACATTCTTCCTTGGACTTCAAATCAAACAACTTAAAGATGGTAATTTTGTCTCTCAAACCAAATACTGCAAAGAAATTCTTAAAAAGTTTGGAATGGACACTTCAAAGGAAGCTAACACAACTATGAGAACTTCATGCTATTTAGACAAGGATGAATCAGGTTTGGAAATTAATCAATCTATCTATAGAGGTATGATAGGTTCACTGTTATACTTAACTGCAAGTAGACCTGATATTATGCATTTTGTCTTTGTGTGTGCTAGATTTCAGGCATGTCCAAAAGAATCTCACCTAACTGCAGTAAAACATATTTTAAAATATTTAAAAGGAACTACTGGTTTTGGTTTATGGTATCCATCTGAAGCTTGTACTAGTTTAATAGGTTATTCTGATGCTGATTATGGTGGATGCAAAATAGATAGAAAAAGTACTAGTGGAACATGTCATTTGTTAGGATCATCTCTAGTATCTTGACATTCTAAGAAACAGGCATGTGTTGCTTTATCCACCACTGAAGCTGAATATATTGCAGCTGGTAATTGTTGTACTCAAATTTTGTGGATGAAACAACAACTAGAAGATTATAGTATATTTCTATGTGATAATACGAGTGCAATCAATCTTACTAAGAATCCAGTAATGCACTCTAGGACTAAGCATATAGAAATTAGACATCATTTTTTTGAGAGATCATATAAGCAAAGGAAACTGTAAAATTGAGTATGTTGATACAAAGCATCAATTAACAGATATTTTTACTAAGCCTCTTCCCAAGGATAGATTCTATGATCTTAGAAGAGACTTAGGAATATTAAAAATAACTTAAATTCTGCTTAATTAAACAGTTTTTGGATGGTTGTAATGTTATAATTCATTATGTAGGGTGTTAATAGATTATCATGTGTCTAAACCTCAAAAATTTGATGCACACTTTCATAGTGATAGTGAAGAATTTTAAAGTTTGTTTTTATTTCTTCTTGTGTTGTAATGTATTTTCACTTATGAAATAAAATTTGGTATTCTTTTATTGCTTTGATTGAGGGGGAGTTATCTCCAAGTTATGTATATGTTGAGGGAGAACTCTTAATTTTTTTATTATAATCAAAATAGGGGGAGAAATATTTAAAGCCTCTTATGATTGAATTTAAATATTATCTAGTATGTTTAATGTGTTTGTTAGTATGACAGATAAAACAAGTTATTACAAAGGCGTTAAAAGAAAATTTTGATCATCATCAAAAAGGGGGAGATTGTTGAACATACAAGGACTTGATGGTGAACTTACATGGACATGAAGCTTGTTGATTTTGATGATGATTCAAGAACAAAGAACTTAGAGTGTTGAAGACTTGTATTGTTGTGTAATAACTCTGTTTTGATGAGTTTAAGTCTGTAATATTAGAGTCTAAGATAGCCGGTACATAGTCTACTCTTTAGAAGCTTCAAAAACTCATATTTATAAAAAAACCTCGGGTTTAATCGATTAAATCATCAGATAATCGATTATTACAGTAAGAAAAACCATTTTCTGTATCTGTTCACTGTAATAATCGATTAACACACCTGTTAATCGATTAACAGGCCAGTTAATCGATTAACAGGGCACTTAATCGATTAAAACAGTGAGTTTTGGGGTTCTGTTGATTTTGGCTCTGTAATAATCGATTAACACTTCATAATCGATTATTTCAGTCAGATTTGGATTTTGAACTTCAAATTAAACCTATTTTCGAAAACCCTAATCCCAATACTCCAAGTTCCGAAAATCCCCAATTCTCAAACCCTAATTCATCTACTTAAGGTTCTCTAAGGCTCTCAAAAAATGAGAACAACCTTTTTCAAACAAAAGTTAAGTGTTGTGAGTGTCAGAGAACTGTTTGTTAGAGGAAAAAGGGACTTTTGGAACCTGATGTGGGCTAGAAGCGATAAGAATCACTAAGTGGAGTTCTTAGTGGATTGTGTGTTGTGCCGTCTCTAGGGAAAACTGTTCTTCATCTCTTGTGGATTTCAAGAGAGGTGTTTTCTTTACTTTATCTTTTCAATTGTTATCTGTTTGTAACAACTTTGATTATAGTGACAGCGTTAATCCTCTCTTTGAGTGATTAGCAACTGGACGTAGGGTCTTTTGATCCGAACCAGTATAAATCTCCTGTGTAAGACTCTATCTCTATTCTATTTACGTTTACACAGTATTTTAATCGGTAAAATTTGGGAAAAATTTTTAAAACCTAATTTTTGTTAAGAAACCAATTCACCCCCCTCTTGGTTTTTGTCCGACAACGCGAACATTCCACTACGCGATTCTAACATTATTTTCTTTTTCATAAGGATGAGCTATTTCATATTTTCAGACTTTTGTTTCTTATGTTGAAAACCAGTTTTCTACAGGTTTGGAAGTTTTACAATTTGATAATAATGGTGGTGAATATGTGTCATAAATTTCAAGAAATTTTCCTACAAATACACCTCATTTCTCACGTTCAACTCCTTATACACCTTAGTAGAATGGAATGGTTGAACAAAGAAACCATCATCTTTTTTATGTTGTACGCAATATGCTTCTTGAGTCCTCATTATCTTCTAAATTATGTTAGAATCCTTATCAAATGCATTTCTTTTGCTATTCATTTGTCATCTGAAAATCTGGAATTTGTGTCCCCATATTATCAGCTATTTGGTTCACATCCATGTTATCAAAATTTACATCCATTTGGTTGTGTTTCGTTCATTTATCATCGCAGAATATGTTCAGTGTTTGTTTTTGGACTATTGCCAATCTCACAAAGGTAGTTATGTATGTTATGATGTTTGGTTATGTTTCTCAAAATGTGATATTCATTGAGGATCAATATTTCTTTCAAAAACATTTTCCTTGTTATGATTAAGTTGTGCTTCCTCAATTTGATGATATGCCTCATCGCATTGAGCATTTCAAGCCAAATTTATCAGAGATAGAGACCTCAAGTTACATTGCAGCCTCAATGTCAATCACATGGTTATTAATGGGCCAGATCTTGTATTGATTCAACAACTACAACAACATCCCACTATTCCATTTCATATGAAGGCTTAGATCCTTTACAATATTATTGGGTTTGGAAAATTAATGCTTCAAGATTTACCAGCATCAATTTGAGGGGATGTCAACGAGATTAGCTCAATCCCTTATTTATTTCTTACTTGTGGATTTGATTATCTGTAATTAGTCATGTATTAGGCAAAGTTTCCCTATATAGTTATACTGTGAAAGCTAAATTGTGAAATTATAAATTGATATTCATAAGCAAAATTGTAAGATCATAAATTGAATCAAATTTATAATTGACATGCAAATGGGAAAATTATCGACTAAACATAAACAGGATGAAAACAATAATTCCTTCCTACTAAACTTAATTATAGTAATTAATTGTAAAAGCATTAGGCACATTAACTTCACTTTTCACCCATAGCTCAAAACAAGCTTCAGTAATATTTAAACACAAATAATATGAACAAGTTTTTATTCTCACAATATAAATACATCATATACCTAGCCAAGATACCATGGACAAGAACAAGGAGGTGATCAGGGTCGTTCTTCAAATTCCCTATGCTAGAAATAGAATTTCCATGAGTGACAGTACTCATTGCTTGAGCACTAAGACCTTGTTGTCCCTGTCCACTACTTGTACCTGCAAAAGTTCATTTAGCAGCCTTAAAAAAAGTAAGTTATATATATTTGGACCAATATTAGTACTGTTGGTACCTACCCCCTAATCATTATTAGCAATTGGAGTATTAGGTTGTAGTACTTCATCACATCTATCAAAATTATATTGTAAACAAATATGCACAACCATTTTTCTCTCTTTTCTCTGCTCCCTACCTAAACCCTACAATTCCAACAACGGTCTTTCACCTAGAAAAGTACAAAAGAAAATAGATAGAAGAGTGACAAAGAAACAGGATGGAGAAAGCAAGCCAAGGAAGAAATAATTGCAAAAATGATGTCCAATGCACAAGATTTCCACAACTATGGGGCCTTGAGACAGCGTATGCACGAATCTTGTTGAGAAAAAGATCATCCAGTCCTATAGTTTTAATTGATAAAAATCAAAGCAATGTGATGAATAAGAATGCTAAACGCTTTCGTGTTCTCTGTAATTATACTGGGACTAAAAATTGGCAAAATGTCTGATTCAAAGATATACAGTCCCATGATGACTATCCTAAGACTATGCTCCACAACTGTTTGAAGACTTCATTGTCCTATGATCATTTCACTATTTAACAGCAAGTTTGAAGATTATGTCATTTTGAGAACATTAATAGCCAAAAGAGACAAGACAAAAAACCATCAAGGTCAAACTCAATGTAACATTTTTTAGCACAATGTCTATGACACAAAAGGATAAAAGGGAACGTAGTCTTTCAGATGAAGTTGTTGTACACGAGAATGGAAAGTTCTACCCACTCAGATCTCTTGTCAACTCGAGAAACAGAAGTGACTTTTGCAATCTAAAGATAGAGCAACAATATTCAGATCATTAAATGCACAATAATGCATACAACATTTAAATTTTGTAGAACCTAACCAAATTGATGGCATTGGTGTTCGTCATCCAGCACTGGTCTCTAGCTATTCTGCAGGAAACAACAGTTTTAACAGACAATACAAGCTTGAAACACCTTTTAGAGCAGAAGAAAACTATCCAAAACCAGCAAAACATGCTGGCTAAGACACTGGGTTATGCTTTTGACATAATCTATTGGCCTGGCAGGAGAATTGGACTTCAGATGCATTATCACGAATAGAGAAAGGGGCATTGACAGATCTCACAAGACCCATTTTGCTGGATGCATGAAAAATTCAGCAATCAATGAATGCAATTTTGTAGTCGAACACCCTATCTGGCAGCACATGCGTCAAGCTGGGTCTCCAGCTGGTGTACTCCAAACTTTACCTATACCAGGCCAAATGCTATAACGGATAATGTGGGGATGGATTTTACACAAGACAACCTCAATCTAAGGGGGTATGATTAAATCCTAGTTGTTTTGGAGAGACTGTTGTGCGGTCACTTCATGTTATTGGATTACCCCTTTTCATCTCAAAGGGTGGCTTAGCCTTTTTGCTAAGGAGGTTGTTCATCTCCATGGAGTGCGAATCTCCATAGTAAGAGATGGGGATCCAACATTTGTTAGCAAATTCTAAACACAACACCTTAAATCAGATAGGGAAAGTGAAGTACTAAATAAGGTGCTAGAGACTTGTGCTATTTTGCTAGTGACTAGCATAAGAAGTGGGCAGATTGGTTGCATTGGTTGAGTACTGGTATAATATCAACTTTCAGAGGCTGCTATTTGTATTTAAATTGAACTAGTCTACGGCAGCAAACCACCAACACTATCTACCTTGGGAATGCTTGCTTAATGGAGTCAATGATCTTCAAGATAAAGAGATGAGATCCTTTAGCAGCTCAAACTTCCTTCTGTTGAAATTATCAAGTCAGTTAACTGCCGTCTGTTGTATTTTCCAAATGTAGGGCACAATCACGTGGTAGATTTGATAACAAATAAAAAACTGTTGTAGATTTTATAACAAATAAAAAAAATGTAATGTCCGAACCAAAGTTTCTCAATTCAGCATATAGTACCAACTGAATAGTATGGGATAGTTTTTATCGGTACGCTCCACGCCAAATGACTTTTAAAGATTTTATAGGAACACAGAGTTAATTGCATACCTCTAGTTCAGTAGGATTTTAAAGTTAAATATGTTTTTGATCAATAAGCATGGAACTCACCGGGTATTAATAGTCTTCTCACTTAGATTTCCACACACTTATTTTTAGTTTAAGAGAAAAATCTCTTAAATTTGGTATTAGTATCCGTATTCTTTCCCGTGGATCCTTCTATCGAAGAGTCCTACTTACAGCATTAACAAAGGAAGTTTGTAGAACTAGATGAACGACAAAACATTCAAAGTAATAAAAAAACAGCATTGGTCTTCAACTCACTTCCCAATTTCCCATTAATCACTGGCAGAAAAGTACACGACCCAAGCAATCGTGGAAGATGAACCATCCGTTGGGCCAGCACCAGGCCCACCCCAACCTCTAGCCCAATGGTATAAACCTCACTCACTAAAATAATTTTTCATTTTTCAGTGTGTGGAGGGGTAAACGTGGACCCCATTGCTCTCCCACGTGTAAGCCAAGCTCTCGTGTGCAAACAAAAACAGAAAGGAAAGAAGATGATATCGAAAAATCGAAAAATCGAAAATGATGAAGGGTCGATGTACAATTGGTCTATGAGACGAAACAAACACTCAGAATTGTTGGAACAGTAACAAATTTGGGGAAAGGGAATTGAGAAGTGAATGAAAATTACCAGAAGAGAGAGAGAAAGGAGAGTTGGAAGCGGAGGAGGAAGAGGAAGCCTGAGAAGAGGAAGCTATGGGGGCTTGCTGCGAAGGGGGTTTGTTGTTGCGATTGCAAATTCTGGGCGAGTAAGCATAGCGCGCGTGAATCATGGAAGCCGTTGCCATATGTATAATTTTGAGAAGGTAAATCCTTTCCTAATTCCAAGGCACAATTGTCGTTTTCTTATCTTCACCAAATTCTCTCCTTCTCTCTGTGTCTGAAGGTTCTGTTTCCAAGGAATGAGAAGAATCGGTGAGTGGGGACAAGCAAATTGCGAATTTGTGATTCGTATAAACGACAAAAGTAGGCAATAAACGACTCTTTTTTTTCTTCACCAACTAAATATGTTTGCAAAATGGAGATTCAAGAAAATATTCGTATTACCTTTTAATATCAAAAATCATTTTTTTCTGTCTATCATTTTCATTATATTTAATTTTGACTTAAAATTATCAATAATTATCAAATAAATAAATTATCAATTTTCATTGTTTTTTAAGAAAATTATCAATAATTAAAAAATAAATAAATTACATCATAATATAATTACTTGTCATAAAACTAAATATAATGTGTTGTTCAAATATGGTATTTATAAATTTTACTAATAATATACGGTATTCATTTCTAATTATTTATATGAGTTTTAGTTGTACAATTAATTAATAAATATTTATTTTGGGTAGTACATGTACTAAAATACCAGTTAAATAATAATTATTGTGAGTGTTAGAAATTTATAAAAAGAGAATGAAAAAAATATATAAGAAAATTAGGGTATTGTTGATTTTGTTTGTTTGTTAGTTTTTAAAAGCGTTTTAATAATTAATTTGTAATTATTTTTAAAAATAAATCAAAAAAATATTAATTACTAATTTTAGTTTGAAGACTGTTTAAAAATAAATAATAATAATAATACTAATAATAATAATAATAACGATAAATCACGATAAAACTTAAAATAACTTTATTATTGTTTAACTTTATAATAATATAGATAGCTGATAAATAAATACGTAGACATTATTAATAAAAATAGAAAATTAATAGCAGAAAATATATTTGATTAGATTTACTTCTTTGGTTTTTTAAAATATAAAATAAATCAATTATAATAAACGTTAAAAGTTATAAAAATTCTATTTTTAAAAATAGTAAAAAATTAAATTCTTACTGCATTATTTTGATAAGAAAAAATAATAAAAAAGTTGTACACTCACGTTGCACTTTAATCACGCGGACTATACTCACATGACGACTACCTTTGCACCAGCAGTTGCACGGTTTGTTTCCGCACCAGCCTCACGGTCACGGACCGTCTCGGCACTGTTGCAACGCCCAAAAAGTATGTTGTATGTAAATGCTTTTAAGATACGAGACTGCAAATTAATCAAACCATACCTACCAAGTGTAATTAAGATGCAAGAAACCTATCATGTCAAACTATGGACTCACCTGCAACCATCCGTGCATTAAAGTAAAAATATTAATCTAATTAAATATTTTTGTATATTCATAAAAATAAAATATAAAAAAATATGCTTTTTTTTCTTCATGTGTGATTTCCTTGAGTCCATGAAACTCTGAAACCATTATTAAGTATTTGTAATGGGTGGTTCTAAAACCATTCTAATAAAAATTAAATATGGGGAGATCAATTCAAGAAAAAACACATTTAGCCACCAAAATTAGTGACCGAATTTTTTCGGTCGCAATTAGTGACCGATTTAGCGACCGATTTAATTTTAGTCGTATTTAGAGACTGATTTAGCGACCAATATAATTCTGTCGCAATTAGCGACCACTTTAATTCGGTCGCAATTAACGACCGATTTAGCGACCAAAATATGAGTTGGTTTTCACTTTTTTATTTAGCGATCGAAATAGTGACCAATTTTTGTGCGTCGCAAATTTTCGATCGCTAAATCGGTGACTATTTCATACATAAATAAAAAAATCATTTAGCGACTGATTTAGCGACCGAATTACAAATTGAAATAGTGACCGAATTAAAATCGGTCGCTAATGAGAAAATAATCCATGATTATATCTGATTTTTGCAATATCGCTCAAGCGAAAATAACATCGCTCGAGCCACGCCACCTGCACAAAATTGGCATTCTCGGGTTGTATTTCGCTTGAGCGACACTATTCTCGCTCGAGCGACATCCGATTCAAACATGAGGCACCCAGGTTACATTATCCGGCTAACTTTGATCGACGTTTACGCAGGTCAACATTCGCTCAAGCGAAAGTAACATCGCTCGAGCGATGCCACCTGCAAGAAATGAACGATCATAATTGAGACGATATAATAGCGGTTCCACGTCAACCGCTATCTAAAATATATTTTAGATAGCGGTTAAGGGTTAACCGCTATTAGAAGTGTCTTTTTAAGAGCGGTTCCAGTGGAACCGCTATCATATACAACCAGATTTTTTGATTCTGATCGATTAGATTTTCAAAATGATCGATCATATTCGATAATTTTTTCAAATAATTAATTATAATCGATTAGTTTTCTAAATTATTGATTAGAATTGATTAGTTTTTCAAATAATAGATTAGAATTGATTAATTTCGAAATATATATTAAAAAATTATAATTAAAAATATAAATTATTTAAGACTAGAGTAATATTAACTATTCAATACATTGTTTAAGAAAAGTTTAATAATAAATATTCTTTAATTTATTTTTCAATTGAAAATTTCAATTGAAATTAAAATATATTTTAAAAATTTATATTAAAAAAATTAAACACATCAAATGATCACATTTTAATTCCTCATTAACTTAATTAATTAAGAAAATAAAATTTTAATCAAATTATTACAATTTTATTTTATAAAACTTTATTTTTAATCTAATATTTAAATTTATTGCTTTATTATTATTAATTACTTAACCATGGTTATTTTCATATAATTGATATACAAAAAAATTATTTTCATATTATGACCGATCGGAGCTTTTTCAATCGATTAAAATACGTTTCAATCGATTAAAACAACTTAGAAAATTTCTACACAGCGTTTTAATCGATTAAAACTTATTTTTATCAGTTAAAATCACTTGGCAAAACTCACAATAAAGTTTTGCAGTATTTCAATCGATTGAATCACGAAACAATCGATTAAAACAAATTAGAAGATTTTTTGTAAAGAGTTTTAATTGATATAAACGTTGTCGTATCGGTTAAAACAAATATGTTAAAGAATCAAGAACGTTTTAATGGATTAAAAGAAGTTTTAACAGATTAAAACTGCACTTTTAACAGATTAAAAGATTATTTTAACAGATTGATTAAACCAGCAGTTTTGAAAATCTTCTATAAAAACAAGTTTGGCTTGAACTTTTTAAACACACATTGAACATCAGCTTTTACACATCCTTAAGCAATCAATCAAGCAAACTTTAGCACTCTTTTCAAGAAAGTTTCTAAATACTAAATTTAAAGAATTAAATTTATTTATTTAATCTTTTAATTTTAGTATTTAAAATTTAAATTATATTTTATTAAATTAAAATAATTACAATATATTTTTCTACTTTGAGAATGAAAAATATAATTAAACTAAAACTGAAAATATTATAATACATTTTTGAACTATTTTTGATTAATTTATTTTTCCTAATTTTTTATAAAGTCAATTTTAATATTTAAAAGTATTTAACATTTTGATTTCAAAACGTTTTACGTATTACCAAATTTAAAAACATAATATTCAAAAAAATAGTCAATGTTATGATTGAGGATATAATAGCGGTTCCACGTTAACCGCTATCTAAAGTGTATGTTAGATAGCGGTTAAGGTTTAACCGCTATTAGAAGTGGTTTTAAGAGCTGTTCGAGTGGAACCGCTATCATATACAACAAGATTTTGAGATTCTGATCGATCAGATTTTCAAAATGATCGATCATATTTGATAATTTTTTCAAAGAATTAATTATAATCGATTAGTTTTCTAAATTATTGATTAGAATTGATTAGTTTTTCAAATAATAGATTAGAATTGATTAATTTCTAAATATATATTCAAAAATTATAATTAAAAATATAAATTATTTAAGAATATTGACTATTGTAAAGATAAAGTAGAACATGAGAGGAGATGAGGATGATAATATAATGATAGAAGTTACAAAAATGTAGAATTGAGAAGTTTGAAACAAATAAAATTAAGAAAATAGAGATTTAATTACACTTTTAATAATTTTAAGATAATACTAGTTTTGATTTTTAATTTTAACTATTTATTTTAATTATTTAAAACAGAGAAACTATAATTTTAGTTTCTAAATACTAAATTTAAAGAATTAAATTTATTATTATTTAATCTTTTAATTTTAGTATTAAAAATTTAAATTATATTTTATTAAATTAAAATAATTACAATATATTTTTTTACTTTGAGAATGAAAAATATAATTAAACTAAAACTGAAAATATTATAATACATTTTTGAACTATTTTTGATTAATTTATTTTTCCTAATTTTTTATAAAGTCAATTTTAATATTTAAAAGTATTTAACATTTTGATTTCGAAACGTTTTCACGTATTACCAAATTTAAAAACATAATATTCAAAAAAATAGTTAATATTTGAAACTATATAATAGCGGTTCCACGTTAACCGCTATTTAAACTACATTTTAGATAGCGGTTAAGGTTTAACCGCTTATTAGAAGTGCGCATTTAAGAGCGGTTCCAGTGGAACCGCTATCATATACAACCAGATTTTCGATTCTGATCGATCAGATTTTCAAAATGATCGATCATATTTGATAATTTTTTTAAATAATTAATTATAATCGATTAGTTTTTTAAATTATTGATTAGAATTGATTAGTTTTTCAAATAATAGATTAGAATTGATTAATTTCTGAAATATATATTCAAAAATTATAATTAAAAATATAGATTATTTAAGAATATTAACTATTGTAAAGATAAAGTTGAACATGGGAGGAGATGAGGATGATAATATAATGATAGAAGTTACAAAAATGTAGAATTGAGAAGTTTGAAACAAAAAAAATTAAGAAAATAGAGATTTAATTACACTTTTAATAAATTGAAGATAATACTAGTTTTGATTTTTATTTTTAACTATTTATCTTAATTATTTAAAACAGAGAAACTATAATTTTAGTTTCCAAATACTCAATTTAAAGAATTAAATTCATTATTATTTAATCTTTTAATTTTAGTATTAAAAATTTAAATTATATTTTATTAAATTAAAATAATTACAATATAATTTTCTACTTTGAGAATGAACAATATAATTAAACTCAAAATTGAGAATATTATAATACATTTTTGAACTCTTTTGGATTAATTTTTTTCCTAATTTTTGATAAAGTTAATTTTAATATTTAAAAGTATTTAACATTTTGAATTCCGAAAGGTTTTGTCTAATAAGAAATTTAAAAACATAATATTCAAAAAAATAGTTAATGTCAGTTTTCATTATGATCGATCATAATTTGAAATGATCGATCATAATTGAGTGGATATAATAGCGGTTCCACGTTAACCGCTATCTAAACTACATTTTAGATAGCGGTTAAGGTTTAACCGCTATTAGAAGTGCCAATTTAAGAGCGGTTCCATCGAACCGCTATCATATACAACAAGATTTTGAGATTCTGATCGATCAGATTTTGAAAATGATCGATCATATTTGATAATTTTTTCAAAGAATTAATTATAATTGATTAGTTTTCTAAATTATTGATTAGAATTGATTAGTTTTTCAAATAATAGATTAGAATTGATTAATTTCAAAATATATATTCAAAAATTATAATTAAAAATATAGATTATTTAAGAATATTAACTATTGTAAAGATAAAGTTGAACATGGGAGGAGATGAGGATGATAATATAATGATAGAAGTTACAAAAATGTAGAATTGAGAAGTTTGAAACAAAAAAAATTAATAAAATAGAGATTTAATTACACTTTTAATAAATTGAAGATAATACTAGTTTTGATTTTTATTTTTAACTATTTATCTTAATTATTTAAAACAGAGAAACTATAATTTTAGTTTCCAAATACTCAATTTAATGAATTAAATTCATTATTATTTAATCTTTTAATTTTAGTATTAAAAATTTAAATTATATTTTATTAAATTAAAATAATTACAATATAATTTTCTACTTTGAGAATGAACAATATAATTAAACTCAAAATTGAGAATATTATAATACATTTTTGAACTCTTTTGGATTAATTTTTTTCCTAATTTTTGATAAAGTTAATTTTAATATTTAAAAGTATTTAACATTTTGAATTCGAAAGGTTTTGTCTAATAGCAAATTTAAAAACATAATGTTCAAAAAAATAGTTAATGTCAGTTTTCATTATGATCGATCATAATTTGAAATGATCGATCATAATTGAGTGGATATAATAAG